CTGGGGCTGTGTGTGTGTGTGTGTGTGTGTGTGTGTGTGTGTGTGTGTGTGTGTGTGTGTGTGTGTGTGTGTGTGTGTGTGTGTGTGTGTGTGTGTGTTGGGGACAGTCTTTACTGGTAGGCTCACTGGGCTGAGAGGAAGTGGTGGCTGTCTTCACATACACACAATGTTAAAATATCAGTGACACTGAAATACAATACATTGACGGAGTGTAAATTTCACACTTGATCAAGTATTGTATTTAGTATGCTGCACTTGTACTTTACTTATATTTTATTTCCAGTTTATTCTACTTTATACTTCTACTCCACCACATTTCAGAGGGAATTATTCTGCTTTTTACTGCACTACATTTATCTGTCAGCTACATTAAGCCTTTACATGCAAGATTCATGATAAAATTATATAATTAATTATAATTGTTATAGTTATATAAATGCTTCTCGCATCTTTATGCATCATATCAATAATTCAATAATCTATTAGTATATGTAATAACATTACATTTACAGATGGCATTCTGCATAATGAGTACTTGTACTTTTTAAAATTTATTTTAATACTAATAATACTATTTAATACTATAATAATACTAATATATATAAAGATTTTAAATCTGGAGTGCTTTTACCCTGTGGTATTTAACTTAAAGGGACTTAAATGGACATTTTTGAAAGAAGAAATATCACAATCTTCCTGTTACAAATGAAAGGCTTAATTCATACATAATAAAATGCACCCTCGCTCCATTTAATACTTTAAGGAGTTTTACTGCTACAGCCTGGTTTGGTCTGGTATGACCAGTAGCATATGGGGGCTAATGTTAGCTAACATTTAAATACTTATTGCAGACTGTTGTTTCTGGATAAGTTGCTGGACTTTATAACTCTCCTCCTGTTTGTGCTACTGTTACACAACATGTAGCCCAGTCAGGTCGCAGAAGGATGATGTCTCTAAAGCAGCTGACTAGAAAGTGTTGGGAAATGAGAGCTCCAACGTGCGGTCACATTAGTCACTGCTCAGCAAAAGTTACACACTTCACTTCAAGTAAATAATCTGAGGACATCCTCCACAACTTCTCATCATTTAAGAATGATCATATAATAAATATAATAGCAGACAAGACCGAAATGATCTATTTCATGAAAGAAAAACCCGAATAGAGTCTGCTTTTATTTTGACATTTACATAACCTTTTTTACTCTAATCCTTTATTTATTTTTTGTTTAACCTTTATTTAAGCAGGGAAACCTCAATGAAATTAAAAACCTCTTAACACATCCCTCAACAGGCAGGGCTGTAGCTACCACTGAAGTCTTTTTTCTCATATTTCTAGGAATTCTTTAGGGATCATAGACATACATATGGAGGGCATTTAATTGGCTGTCTCCAGTATTTTTAGGATCAATTGGACAAATAAAGAAATTCAGTATTTCTACACCATAATTAAAAAGTTTGAAGAGAAAATATAACATGAATATATATATTTTAACTAAACCTTCTAAAAACCTTTTTTGGTGTCTGATCATTTTTTTCTGAGAGGAGTAGAGGGGCGGCACTGGGTATTACCCTGACAGCCACAACAGTGACTTATAACATAAAACAGATAACACAGAAAATATCAATCAAACAATAATGTGATTAAATGATCATGAACAATCATATAAGATATTATTTGACTTTTCCCACATATCACATGTATTGTTTTGTACAGCAACTTATGACTTATGTCATAATTCATGAAAAAATGACTTTGTGAGTGTGTTTGTGCCTGTGTGTGTGTGTGTGTGTGTGTGTGTGTATGTATGTGTGTGTGTGTGTGTGTGTGTGTGTGTGTGTGTGTGAGTGTTTTTTCTTCCCAGGGCTTGACTCATCCGCCTCCCTCGTGTTTACTTATTTAGGCCAGCAAAGTTCTCTGGAAAATATGCATCGTTATAACTGTCCCTTTGTGAAGCACCAGACCTCTGCAATATTTCTCACCTAGGTGAGTGTGTGCCGATGCCAGAGCAGGGCCGGCATCGGTTAACCCTCAGCTCGCCGGGCGGCAGCAGCAGTGTACGTACGGGGGAGAAAAGCTGTGGGAAACCTCTGGTGGCTTTTTCAAGTAAACTTCATATTTCAGAGCAGACATTCGCTCACTGTGTGGGCCTGAGATGCTCCTCCTTTTACCTCAGTTTGGACTCTGTCAGTCAAACTGTGAGGATGTTTTGTGCTTTAATAATTCTCACCAGGCAACACCTGACAACCACAACACACAGCTGAAGTTCAGCCAAGAGAGTGTTTTGTTGCTGCAGCAACTCATCTCTGACTTATCCAACAGGCATTGATCGCTGAATTAAATCTTAATTTGGCGTTGTGAGGTGGCTTCCTGTGAGGGGGGTTAGCCGAGCCTTCAGGCCTGAGGTCTGCGGGGGTTAGGTCCCCTATGCAGCCGCGTTTTAACACTCTCTGTCTCTTTCTTTCTGCCTTCAAAATTAAAAAAAACACAGACACACATCGGGGGAAAAGGAAGAGGTTGCTGAATGATACGGGATGGAAAGGTGTGAGAGAGCCCCTTTACATTTATGGCCTCTGTAGAAGTGGAGGAAGTGGTGTAGTAAAGTAGAGTCGCGCTCCAAAGCCCTCACTCAATTCCAAGTACATCACAGACAGTGGCATCAGAGGTGACGGGAAAGGCTCAGATGTGAAACATAAGAAACCTTTCTCAGGATCAGTGGAGACAATGTGAGCATTGAGATGAATACTGTAAGGCTCGGTATTAATATACAGAGGCCTGCAGTGGTGGAAGAATGTGTTGTCTGGAAACAAAAGCAACACCACCAGGCAAAAATACTCCATTACATTACAACAACATTGCACATACGGTCTCTGACCAGATGTATCTGGTTATTTGTTTCAACATGGCTGGAGAAAATTGAAAAAAGTGTTATTCTCACGCCAAGAAGTATATTCAACAAAAGTTACATACCACTATATTAGATTTTTGGATTATATTATAAATACATTAATGTATAAGCTGCATTTTAATGTTACCTCTATCTCTCTCTATATACTACCTATATATAGACCTATTTTAAGTCCATACACGCAGAAAAAGTATGACGGATTCGAAGGAAAATTGGTTCCAGGTTGTTTTATAGTTGTTACAGCGTGATCATTCCCCCCAAAACACATTTAACACAGAAAAATGTAATTTTATACAAATAACAATTATTTTATTAATCAAATCAATTTTTAAGACCTGTTAGATCATATTTAAAATGAGGCTAAAATTCAGATTATTGGATGTTAGACTCTCCAGTTTAATCAGTAACAATCAGTGGAGAAGTGGGTCTACTTTTAATTTATGCTACAGTTTCTTTTAAAGCAGCCCATCCAGCAGAGGATAAACGCCCTGTGTTATAAACAGTGACATGTAAGACTACTCTTGCATATTTTACAAAAATGGGTCAGTAGTATTTTTTCCCACTTTATTGTATACAGTGTATATATTTTTTATTTTATTATATTTTATTGTATTTTATTCTTTCTCTACTCTTGCACTACATTTCCCTGTGCTGCTGTGTCAAATTTGAATTTCCCCTACGGGGGGATCAATAAAGGAACATCTTATCTAACTTCTGCTGCTTGACTTCAGGCAGTAAGGATCATTATGGAATTAGCATTAGCCACAGAAGAATCAATACTAGCCCACAGACAGGGTGAGACAGGCACAGAATTATGCATTTTGAGTGAAGGATTCCGTACTTACTTACACCACCCATTCCTTTGTCATCCTAGGAAAAAAACATACACATCAGAGGGGATTTAAGAAGTAGGTATATCCAATACTAATTGAGAATTGATAAACCATGGGTAGTATACCATAAGGGGGTATACCACCTGCGTATAACCTGCACTAGATCACTGGTAGCAGGCATCATATTTTCTAAAATCATCATTGGTTTAGTTTATAAATAATCCGAAAATTAACTAGTAGGTAAAGCTGTTAAATTAAAAACAGTGGAGCAAAAATATTTCCCTCTGAAATGTAGTGGAATTGAAGTATAAAGCAGCAGAAAATGGAAATACTGAAGTAAAGCAACTCAAATTTACAGTACTTGAGGAGACTTCACTTTCCACTGCTAGAGAGCAGAAATAAAAGCATGAACCACAAAATAGATGTAACATATCAAAAGTAAAAAATGATCTAATAATAATCACTACTGTACTATAGATTATTATTACTGGAGCATTAATAGATAAGTAGCACTCTGATGTAGATGCAGGTGGAGGTGGGCGTTAGAGGTTTTGTTTATGAAACCTTAACCTGCAGTGTCTGTTTCGTTTTTCAAGCTCTTACATAATGTATGTCTTTTTATGTTCAGCACATTGCATCCTTTTGTGCTATATAAATACAATGTTATGGTACTATTTATTATTTACTAGAACTGCCAAAGAAAGGCAGTTATTTCTATCATTTTCTTCTCTTCCTGGTTATGTTCACTTTAAAAGAAAAAGAATGTCCAATATAAGAGCAGGTCAGGGTGTTAAACTTTGTTCTATTCTCTCAATAACAGATTCATTGTTAAAAGCACAATATTTCCCTCTGTCGTGGTGGAGCTGTTGCAAAGGACGTAAAGAAGTAACTTAAAATGGTATTTTAGGACAGTGCTTGAGTAAATGTACCTAGTTTCCATCACTAATAAGCAAGTAAAAAATAAAAAAGTCACATTCAACACAGCATTCACTGCCAACGTTCCCACTGTTAATGTCTCACACACTGAGTTACACTTTGTCAGCCACATGTTCCATTCTGTCCTTAAATGGCCAGTTAATAGAAGCAGATTTTCGTGTTAAATGATATCAGACAGAAAGACTTTTCCTCAACCTTAGCTTTAGTAAATGAATGTTTCTCTTCAAACAGCCTCTACCGAGCACTGGGCCTCCAGCTGGCAGAAATATTAAATATCAGAATCTCTCAGAGGGAGTCACGCAGGCCCATTATGCAAATCCCGGCATCACTTGTGGGCCGTCCACACTTTGGCACAACAGGAACACAGAGTCTGCCCTAATGGCCCATGCTCAGTAAACACAAGCCCTCTCCCATGTGGATTTGAGACAACAAAAGATTAGCACTATTTGCAAATATACAACTGAGTTCAAAGGCACGGCTCTCCCCTCGCTTCCCTTCTTTTGTTTGAACACACAGCTTTGAATGTGTAGGCATCAACTGTAGCAGATTAAATAGATTTTTGGGCATCAAACTATAAATCCCAAATTCACTCAAACACAACAAAATCGTTCTTTTAACATCCATGAAAGCTGTCAAAAATGTTGATTTTTTTTTTTTTTGAGTGGAGTTTGGTGGATGAAAACAATTTTCAATTCAAAATGGTAAAATTTGATAAACTTTAGAAACCTGTTACTATATGGCAAAGAGAGGTCCAGCCTGGTGTGGGGGCGGCCTTTGGAGAACCCGGTCAGAGAGGCGAGATGTGTGCGCACAAACCACGCCCCACATCACCATGAGGTCCCTGGGGGCCCTTAAATGATGAGGCCTCAGGGTTTAGAAACCAGTATCACTCGGGCCTGCTCTCTCTCTGTCAGCGGTTATATCAGAGTCAGCGAGCCCCCCTACACAAAACGTCTTGGATTTAGGTCTACCTACACTGCTTGGAAATATGACTTCTTCCAACCCCGACCAGCGCCTGGAGCATCTCCTCAGCGCCGTGGAGAACGAGTTCCAGAAGGGCAGCGAGAAGGGAGACGCGTCCGAGAGGGATATTAAACTGACGCTGGATGATGCAGACTTATGGACCAAGTTCAAAGAGTTAACCAACGAGATGATTGTCACCAAAACTGGAAGGTAGGTCCGAGGGAGCAGCAGCCGGTGGGGAAGCCGCGGCGCACAGGCCGGGCACATTTTACGCGCTTTTTACGCACGGGGTTTTCTGCGTGATGAGTGTAAGTTAGTTTGTGAAAATGTTCTGGATTTTATAAAGTGTTAAGACACCAAGGGTTTTATTGTGATATCCAATGGGTTCACACACACACACACACACACACACACACACACACACACACACACACACACACACACACACACAGTGTTCTGTCAAAAGTGCTGCGCCTCAGGTTTGAAGGCCTTTGGAAATTTATAAAAATGGCAACGAAATTTGTCTCTGTCATTGGCCTGAAGTAAAAGTATTTCAATAACAAAACTGGCAAAATGCACTCCCAAACTAAACAAATTCTGTTGTCTTCCAGGAGGATGTTTCCGGTGCTCAGGGCCAGTGTCAGCGGCCTGGACCCCAACGCCATGTACTCGGTGCTGCTGGATTTCGTGGCCGCGGACAACAACCGGTGGAAATACGTGAACGGGGAGTGGGTCCCCGGTGGCAAACCGGAGCCCCAGAGCCCCAGCTGCGTGTACATCCACCCGGACTCCCCCAACTTCGGAGCGCACTGGATGAAAGCGCCCGTCTCCTTCAGCAAAGTCAAACTCTCCAATAAACTGAACGGCGGCGGACAGGTGAGGACTCAGATAATAATGATATCATTAACTATTATGGGGATTTAAATTTTTATACTATTTCAGCTGTGCCATATTAGGCCTGTGGGATTAAAAAAAACCTGATAGATTAATTCATCTTAAATTACTTCAATTCAACATATATCACTGGAATATGAAATATACACTATTTCAAGAACTGTAGGATTTTTTAAAAACACGACAAAATAAAGTGGATCAAGAGAAGAACCTTTAATTCAAGTGAATAGTGTGATTTCCACTGGATAACACTGGTTTTATGTCACTTTACTTCACTTGATCTGAGAAAACCCTTAAAAACACTGACTGAATGAAACAGGAGCCCTGCTGTTTGTTATAATGATAAATAGTAACATTAAATGTACATTTTCCCACAGATCATGCTGAATTCTCTGCACAAGTACGAGCCGAGGATACACATAGTGAAGGTTGGAGGCATCCAGAAGATGATCAGCAGCCAGTCTTTCCCCGAGACACAGTTCATCGCTGTCACTGCGTACCAGAATGAAGAGGTCAGTTGAGCTACATCGAACAAACCCATTCACACTGACATGACTCAGATATTGAGTGAAATGCTAACAGATGTCATGTTGTCCTTACAGATTACTGCTCTGAAGATAAAGCACAATCCCTTTGCTAAAGCCTTCCTGGATGCCAAAGAAAGGTAAAGCCTTCAAACGAAATGATTCCTCAGATGACAGAGTCAGTGTGCTGATAGTATAGCATCTAATATTGTTTGTAATTGCAGGAGTGACCATAAAGAAGTCCCCGATCACAGTGCAGACAGCCAACAGTCTGGCTACTCTCAGCGTGAGTTTCATTTATTTCTACATTTCTGAGAATCATAAAAATGCTCAAACTTGTAAAGCTCTCTGTTGCTTAATAAAGAGGAAAGTGAAATGGTTATGGTTGCTGCAGAAGAGCGCCTGAAGTGTTTTCATACTGTAATATGTTACTTAACTTCATACTGTTTGATTCCACAGTTGGAGGTTGGTTCCTCCCAGGCCAGAATCCTATCTGCCCCAGCAGCAGCCCTCCTCAGTTCAGCAGCACAGCGGGCCACTCCTCCGGCTCCTACTGCGAGCGCTACTCCAGCCTGAGGAGCCACAGAGCGGCCCCGTACCCCAGCCACTACCCCCACCGCACCTCCAGCACAAGTAAGAGCCCCTACAGACCTTATTTAAATATATACGTGTTACACTTATCACGCCAGGAATCACAATAAACAGGAGCATTGTTGTTAATTTGTTGTCTGTGCCTCATTTTCAGACAACTACATGGACAACACTTCAGGGACTCTGCCCACTCATGACAGCTGGTCTGCTCTTCAGATCCCCAACTCCACAGGGATGGGCACTCTGTCCCACACCACAAACTCCACATCTAACTCCAGGTAAAACCTTTCTCACCTTTGATTTTTGTGGTTTTGTCTGTGTGTCAGAGGGACATTAGTCTCTCTTTGAACCCTTAGTTTTTCCAGTAGACCTTGCCAAGTACCACAAAACTAATAAAACCCACCAACCCTCTTGTCCCTCTCGTCCACAGTCAGTACCCCAGCCTATGGTCAGTGGCCGGCACCACCCTCACCCCTTCTGGCTCAGCCTCGGGCTCCATACCTGGAGGCCTGACCTCCCAGTTCCTGAGGGGCTCCTCCTACACGGGCCTGACCTCCTCGCTGCCCGTCTCCTCGCCATCCTCCATGTACGACCCGAGCCTGAGCGAGGTCGGGGTCGGGGAAGCCCAGTTCGAGAGCTCCATTGCCAGGCTGACCGCGTCCTGGGCGCCTGTGGCTCAGAGCTACTGAGCAGCAGCAGAAACTCTCTGAAGGCTGGAAGCTTTAGGAGCTGGACCAAAGACATGAATGAAAGGTCCTGGGGATCATGTCGCAAGACCCGCACGGATCCCTTTTTGGCTCCTGATTGTGGAAAAGCATAGATTATTCATTCCAGAGCCTCTAATTTAAAAAAGGTGTAAAGTTAGGCCGGAGTCAGACTGAACAATGTTGCAAAGACAGAACTTGAAAGACAATCATCTCCCTCCATGTTGGACAATATCACATAGAATATGAAATAGTGGCAGAACCTTCCTTTGCTCTTAGTAATTCCCTACCTGCTTATTACGCATTCATAACATGTTTATTACACCCTTTGAAACACTCCTTTAGCTCCAAACAGCCAACTGAACAATCCTTGATATTTTTGTTTTTATTCTTAAATATATATAAGATGAAAGAAAAATGTTTCTGCTAACATAAATGTGTATATGTGTGTAAATAGAGTAAATTAACGTCCAGTGTTTTCCATATAAATGTGCCTTTTCTGATTGCAATAAAAAGATCGAACACAAGTGCCTTCTGCATCCTGGCAGGGGTTTGTTGGGCAAGAGAGCCCCTCCCCCTGCACAAAACATGTGTACATAACTATCTATTTGTATTTGAACTCACTGTGAGTTTTATTTATGTCATTTAATAATAAATTAAAAATTTTGGTTTTCTCAAACATGGGTTGCATTTTGTTTCTTTGTAAAACTCCAGGAATGTTTCTCAGCTCTTAGCACTACAACAAGTTTGCTTTTCTTGAGACAAAGCCTTTAATAAAAGAAGAAGAAAAGAGCATAAAACATCATGTACATTAACAATAAAGTCCTATTATATGTGAGGTCAAAGGGCAAACAAGGGCCACTGTCCTTTAATTAAAATATTGAGGGTCAAGCAGCAGACAACTTTAAATAACATTTCTTATGGTCTCATTTTGAACCCGTGGGTTTCGTCTTGAGGTGTAACCCGTACATCAAACCTCAAACGCCGAACTTTTAGCCCTGCGATATGAGCTGTCTTTAAATAACAGCGTCCACATGGCTACGCTAAGTGAATGTGGCTTCTCTGACATGTAATTGAAATGACGAGGTGATGGAGAAGTGTCCAGTTTAAGAAATCTATCAGGGTACTTTTCCATCACTGGCACCCTTTTGTTACAATCTGCGTTATGGTGCGACATACGGCTAACACATTCAGATTTGCATGTGAGGAAAGTCAAAGGTACTGAATACAGACCCAAAATGCTAACACCTGGGATTGAATATAATAAACTAACAGATGCACATGAACGCAGGTTTGCACTATTAGCAGGAACATAGCAGACACAAACCAAACTCTTTTCAAAGCTTTTTATTTGCACAATATGACTTTAACCACCTTGTTAAAATAGAGCCAAATTTAGATGAAGAAAGGACATTTCTAGGAAAAATTCATAAAAAGCTAATGCTTGCTGTATTTTTTATTCATTTTGAGCACCTCGGCTCTGGAACGACCTGCCTGAGGAGAAGTGTCTTCTTTTAAATTCCTTTTTTTTTTGTATAATTATTTGTGAGTTCATCTTTTCATTTTATCCTATTTAATTTTTTATGGCTTCTATTCTATTCTTCTATTCATTTTTATATTTAATTACATTTTGTGTATGACAGCTATCATTTTACTTTGTCTGTCAAAGCCCTTTCTAAACTGTTTATGCTTGTTTTAAAAGTTGCTATATTAATAAAGTTATATTATTATTTACATGTTAATGGTGACTGACTTAAGGTCATAGTTTACACAAATTTGTATGTAACACTATTCCCTTCATTCAAATGTTTACAGACACAGCTTTAGAATAAAATATTATATAATAAAATCTAAGCAATTTGCACTAATATAACTTAAAGTGCATGTCCACATATAAAATCAAAGTACGTCGAGATCATTTGAAGGGTCATTTCATAAAATACTTGTTAATTTGTTATTACAGAAGAAGACAAGGTAACCAATAATAAGGAAACATCAATTAAAAACACATAAAATCCGAAAATAATTATTACATTTGCAGAACCAAGCTCAATTGATGGTAAAAAAAACCTAGTAAAAGTGCTTCATGGTTGATTCGGCTCCAGCTCATACCTGAGGCCAGTGGCTTGGCTGAGCACTCATGATGTCAGTGGTGTGATGTGTGTGTCAGGCCCACAGAGGCTCGGCCCCTCAGCAGTGATGGAGTGGTCCTCACCGAGGTGCAAATGAAGGCTGGAGGGTCACGGGGCCACAGGCAAACAGTAATGAAGCAGCAATGTGACCTGCAGCTGGCGGGGCCGATCACAGCGGAGCAAAGGTCCCCTCATGAAACGCTGGCATCTCTGACAACCTTCACTTTACTGCCTCTCCGAATGCAGGAATTTATCTCCGTCAGCTTGAAAATACAGGAGCTGTCTTTGTTTAAGCTGTTCTGTGATTCACCGCTTTTGTTTCAGATTACGAATGAATTCAGATGAGAAAATTAACACTGAGTGTCACCACAGTATTAATGAGATGTGGTGGGCCTTTGTTGTATTGCAGATCTCTTACTTACATTATAATTATTTATATTCAAAATCATACTAAAGTAAAAGTACAGAACAAAATGTACTTAAGTATCAAACATACAAGTGTTCATTAAGTAAAGTGTTATATTATTAATAAACATTCATATTATTATTACAGGTGCACTGATTTAAGCAGCATTTTAATGTTGCAATTGGTTGACGTGGAGGTAATTCTACCCTGGCTAGTTTAATGTTAAAACAAAAACAAAACCATGGTCTAAAAACAGGGGTTCCCACTAGGGGTCACCAAAGGTTCACCAGGGGTTGCGAGGCATTCTTGATTTTAAAAAGTGTAAGAAAACTTCAAAAATCATTATTTTAAAGCTTATTATTAAAGATCTAAACTTTGAAGACCTGAACACAAACTATGTTCACTGAGCTGCACAGTCACGTCCTGCTTTAGAAAAGAAATTTGGTGAAAGAAGAAGCCTATTAATTATGTATTATTGTTAAAAATAAATAAATAATAAATAATACAGACAGAAAATGTTATAAAAGTTCTTAAAAATATCAGCAAAACTCATCTCTGATCAATATTCAAAGGAAATAATCTGCTCAAAATAAATCCAAATCACTTTTACTTTTTTACACAAACTACCGTTATTGTGTTCACAGTTTGGGTTTATAATACAGTTTATTGGTCACTACTGTTACTGTTATGCATTAAATGTAATATGAAGGTCAGGGGTCGTCAGTTTACTCAGTGATAAAAAAGGGGTCCCTTAAGGAAAAAGGTTGGGAACCACTGGGCTAAAAGAAGCTTTGTAGAACTGTGGAGTTAGTCTGTCTAGTTTGTCACATTTCAAATAGTCACATGAGCCATTATTAATAACAAGACCAAAGGCCTCTGCGTACTATGTCCATATTTTTCATCAGAAATTGGCACATATAAAAATAAATACGACTACACACAATCATGTTAACACACCGACTCCGAAACTTCAGTCATTAAAGTTTTTGGAACAGGGTTGATTTTCTGTGTTTTTTCGCACCAGTCAAAAGAAATAGACGATGAGGACAGCAAAGAGAGAGAGAGGGAGAGCGACAATGTGGAGACAGAGAGGGAGGCCAGCTCAGCTTCTTAAAGCTGCGGTGCCAAATGCAAGACGTGGGCAGTGAGTGGCGACAGCCTGCGGAGGAACCTCCAGTGGAGAGAAGCAAGGGATGAAAATGAGAGAGAAGGAGCGAGAGACAGAGTGACAGCAGGAGAAGACAGCTCCTTTATCAACAGGTGAAGCTCTCCTTGTTCCTAACACCCTGGATCCAATATTTCCTACTTTCAAGTGACAGGACCACAAAATCATTCTCCATCTTGAACAAACAGAATAATAAAACAAACTGGCCTGACTGTGGCGCTATATAAAAAGTTAGTCTTAGCCACTAACAGAACCTCCAGGAAGTTGCAATCGCACCAATTAATGCAACACAACCATTCCCTGTGAACTCAACAACAATTTTGTCCAGTCACTGCCACTTTTCCACAAATTTGACCAATCATTTTAGTTTCCTGTGCAAAGCAGTCATACGCCACCAGACCCATTTCCTCCAAACAGTGCAAATTTTATTATCACTGGAACAAGTTCTGTAACATCAGGCACTTTAGGCCACAACAATCCCCGAAATCCTGGAGAGACAGCACTAAATCCTACACACAAGGAATGAGCAATGTTGCTAACATTCATCCGGAGGGGAATATAAATGTCTGAAGAGCAATATATGAGTCATTCATTGTCCTATGTACATAAATGTACATAAATGGTACTGTACATACTGTATATGTATGTACTGCATATACTGTATATACCATCTTGGGTGTCTGCACACTGGTACAACTAATTTAATTTTGATGTGTCTTACTACACTATTTCTCATATATTTGATTCACTGGATGAATGACAATTGAAATGATTTTGTTATTAGCCAGCGTGTGTAACACTGGTGTGTCTACAATCTCTACCAGATACAGTGAGTATAGCCTTGAGGTACTTTTCATTAGCTGTTATTTATAGAATTGGAGTTGAAAGTTGAATGACTTCATTATATTAAGTAAATGACAAAAGCCAAAAATAAAAGACTTGTGTTTCATCTTCAGTGTGTGTGTGTGTGTGTGTGTGTATGAGTGCCTGTTTATGAGCCGTTGTCCAGACTTGGTGGGGAGGATGTTTGCTGATGGTCTTTGCTCAGTCTGGAGTGATAAACAGGTCCTGCTGGGCCCAGAGCCATCTATTCCCTCTTACTTATGGTTTGAGTGTGTTTGTGTGCGTGTGTGTGTGTGTGTGTGTGTGTGTGTGTGTGTGTGTGTGTGTGAGAGTGTGCACATGTGTGCGTGTGTTTGTGCAATGATCTGAGGACCCTGAGCTGACTGAAGCCTTTGTCCTCCAAGATGGCTGATCTGCTCTGCACACCCCAGCCTGCAGCCTGTGTTGGCCTTCACTAATTGACAATTGGAGTTTGACTTTGCACACTGGCCTCCTCTCCACCCCTGGAAGTGTGTGTTCCAAATACGCTTTACAGAGTGTGCCCAGCACCCAGGTGTGGAGGACGGAGGACTATAAACAACAGATGCAGATGTTGGGTTGGGTCACTGTTGCCTTCTTATGACTGTGGCTATTAGTTTAAATGGTAGCAAAGGTGTAACAGAGGGTAAAACACACCAAAATGATTTTTCTTTCTGTTTTAGTGACAGAATTGGAGTTTAATAATCACATAAACTAAAAGTACATCAATCATTGAAAGATACAGACAAGGACTGAAGTTGGATTTGTTATTTCCTCCAGTTAGGCAGAGTGAGAATCTAAGACTGACAGATTCCAGCCTCCCGTCCCATCTTTGTCCTGGTGTCCCCTCACGTATGCCTCCTCCACTTCCAGGAATAAGGAAGACAGAAGGGAGAAGCGGCCTCCACAAACACTACGATTATGATGGTGACTCACATTGTGCAGGGCCTTGCGGGTGATTTACGAGGGGGGCCACTGCCAAAAAACAAGTTGTCAAGTCTGGAACAGCGAGTCAGCGCAGCGGCGGGGAGGTGTGTTTGCAGACCGCCCCCTCGTCCGCCCCAAAACCCCAACCCCGTCCCTCTGATGTCTGTGTGTCTTCGTTAATGAAGAAATTCTGGTACCTTAGTGAGACATTGCTCTCAGCTGAGCAGACTCTGCCTCCTCCGTGCCCTCAACCCCTGCACAGTCATACAGCCGCCCCACCCATCCGCAATCCCATCAGGCCTCTGGCTTCACCTTCCTTGCACTGGGCTACTACAGTCTGCAGCAGAATCCTTGCTTTTCATATCTTTTGAGAGGACATTTTAAACAAGATGGTGTATGCTACAATATCATTTCCAACCCAACTCATACTAGAGTTCAGCAAATGGCCTACAACCCAGCACTGCCACACTGGATAGGACTGGGACTGACAAATTTGAAACCCAATACTGACCTGAATCTGTACATTTTCTTTACTTCATCCATTATTGACCCTTTCCAGGCTAATGCAACACATTGACTTTCTGGTTCACTCTGTGTCTTTCCCTCTTTCCTCTAGGCTTTACAAATCTCCTTGAACACATAACACTGCAAACGACTGGCTAGAAAGAGGAAGGGGGACATTTTTTAATAAATTACATTTGAAAATAACCAACACAAATGCAACCTAAGCCTTAAGCTTTACACAAGAAAATTGGCCTGAACTGACCTTAAACCTGCTACACTGTTGGGACCTTTGGGTGAATGGCAGGAATAGGGAGAATTCTTGTACATACTTTTAGATCTTTAAATGTTTTTAAAGGTCCAGTGTGTACCATTTAGGAGGATCTATTGGCAGAAATGTAATGTTGAAATGTATGTTTTCATTACTGTGTAATCACCTGAAAATAAGAATTGTTGTGTTTTTGTTACCTTAGAATGAGCCGTTTTATCTACAGAGGGAGCGGGTCCTCTTCTATGGAGGCTGCCATGTTTCTACAGTAGCGAAGAAGGGAAAACCAAACACTATAGATAAGGCCTTCTGTGTTTGTCGCAAGTTTCAGTATCATAGTTGCTAAGCCATATCAACTCTATAAGATAATACATTAATGGGCCCATATTGGCCAAACATCTATTCATACAGGTTTAATAATCTCAAATACAACTGCATTATTACATACGTTATTTGATATGACATTTGACATGCAGAAAATAGAAAATAATGTAATTTGTCGTAAGTTGGCTAAAACATGAAAAAAACACTGGTACAGTCCTTTAAATTAATGGTCACCAACCTTTGGATAAGGCAAAGGGTACCCAAGGATAATGTCCGGGGTCACAAGATGACTAAAGGAATAAGAAAGAGAAAGACATTTGAAAAACATATTGGTTATTCAAATCTATAATTATTTTTTTCTGTTGTTTAAAGGTTCAGGGTGTAGGATTTAGTGGCATCTAGTGGTGTAGTTGGAAATGACAACTTACTCCCTTTCCAGGTACAACGGACAAACTACGGTGGTCTGCAAAATGTGCAAAAAAAATGAATGGCCCTAACTGGAGCCAGTGTTTGGTTTGTCCAAGAAAAGTAGAGCATATTTTGACCTGCTCACAATTAGTGTACACACTTATAACCTATGACATGGGCTCCTAGACCACATGGTTTGGAACCACTGCCTTAAATGTAAAGTCGGATGCTCTCCTTTTCTGGCTCTTGAGTATATTATAAATCAATCTTCAGCTTATTGTGTTTCCTACTGTAACTGAGCAATTAATGTCTATGACACAGAATTCTACAAATAAATGCCCTGTAATATTCCCTATGTGGTAATACACCTCACAGCCTAAAAATCAAACATGACCTGCAGGTCAGTCTATGTAAAAACACTACTGCCCCAATGAGACAGTTGTCTGAGGGGTGTTTTTGAACTACATGAGCAATTTCACACATTAGGAGGACTTGCTAGCCAGCATAAGCTAATGTATGTTTCCTCCGGTCACCACAGTGATGGTGACAGCCTCTCACCATCCTGACAGGCCAGTCCAGTTAGCTGTGGACAGTCACACGAGCAGAAAAGACTTGTAAGCAAACTGGTCCTCACTGAAGTAACATTTAGCAGAGGTGCATGATATCCAGTGTGGTCTGAGTGAGAAAAGTGTGTCTTTCACTCATTGGTAGCAGCGTGCTGATTATCCTCAGGGTTCAGACGACATGTCGCTCCCTGCGTTCACACAAGTCACAAATAGTACAATTCGAAAAGAGTAATTTGCTGATTATAAATATGTCTGATTGATGATTACAGTGGACTTTGTTTGATTTTTCTGGGTAGCCTCCCAGTTTTGATAAAAGATAATCCTAAAATTTGACCTCCACTCACACTAGGATAACCCACCCAAACCTCTGGAGAAGGATCCTCTCTCCTGAAGACCCCAGTTCTGTGAGCCAATTGGGTTTGAGCATGAGTTGTAGTGTTCCGTATGGAGTAGGCTACGTAAACTTTTGCTTATTCCACGTTAACAGTCCACCAACATCAGTTTCTTTTTGTAGACGAGAAATAAGCAATCCAGTTGCTGAATCTTCATATTGCTTATATTAGATCTACAAAGCTTGTCTTAAATGAATTTAATTTTGTTACCAACATGAAGCAATTACTTTTTAGATTAGTTTTAGATTAGCAGAGCAGTTCGAATTTAGCTAGCATTTAGGAGGACAGGTATGTGTTCTGTTCCTGTTTGGTGGTGCTGCAGTTGGACCCTTTAAATCACTGGTGCTGCTGCAATTTATTTCTTCGTGTTTTTAATTGACAGTGTTCAATGCTAGATCAATGCACTACTAAAATAAAAATGAGCTTATTTATCAATTTATCAAAACTAAGTTATAATCCTTACAGAAATCTAATCCTGTTTTACTATTTATGGTCAGTTTTTATTTCAGCAATAGCCGTTTCATGTATTTACATTGAGTCATTTAGGTTGTTGGTGGCAGGGTCTGCCATTCATGAGCTGGATTCAAACTGCCTACCTTTGCACAAGGGATAAACAGAAAACGATGCATTTAATCCAGCTGTTTTTAATTCTGTCTCACTGATATCAACCTCAGTGTTTATGGTTTCCTACTGCTGTTGCTTCACGTTTCGGGGTGCTTAAACAACATATTATTGTCTTCTGAAGTTACACCACTTTTTTGTGCATTAGCAAAGGGCACAAACAAGAATAAAGCTACTGTAGCACTGATTATGTCTGCAGTCACTTGCACCATGCATATTTACTTGTCACTATGGTACAACCCTCAGCTCCTTGCAGTGTGCACAGTATATTAAATTGCTAAATATAAATGATTTCATACAAGTAAGAACTTTAAAAAAAACTAAATTACACACATTTCTGCACAATATCACTGAGAAAATGTAAATCCATTTTCAAGAGTGGACCATGGGGCAGAGAGGGTAAATCCTTGCATCTGATTGGCTCTATCTGCCCTGAGTATGTGATCACTTGAGAGCTGTTCTTAAAAGGTTAATCTTACAATTCACTGCACTCCAAGAAGAAGTCAATTGCTGATGTATTCTTCATTTTAGTTTTTTACTCTTTTAGGACATTTTCAAGTGCAATTCTTTAAAATTGGATAAATACGAGTCAAGAATCAAAAGAACACTACACAGGCCACCCTGATCTTGACCTTCACATTAAGTTACTTCTTCAGTTTAGTCATGGATGTCATCTTCTAGATTTATATAAGTATATATATATAAGTGTACTCATTGTAGAGAAACTATAATACAGGATAACGCTCCACCTTCCAGAAGCACTCTTCACACTCTTCACAGGCAAACACTGCCCCCTTGTGGTTCAAATTAAAACATCTTTCCAACTGTGCATGGTGCACATCTTCATCTGTACAGAACTAATATAAATATATATATTTTCTTTTACAATCATTTGACCATTTCAATGGTTAATTACATGTTTTGCATATAAACTTCATAAAAAAGGCTTAAAAATCTGTGCCATTCACATCAGGACTTCCAGTATTATGCAATAAACCTGCATGCTGGGTACTCCAGGAGAACCTGTTTTCATTGTAGGCCAATAGCCTTTGGATGTGATCCAAACAGACTACATGAGTGAGTTCATTGACTCCAAGGGCTGCTATAATCACTACTCTTGGCCTTGAACTCTTCCAAGGTTGTAAACTTCAAAATTCATAGCCAGTAAAAATACGAAAAGGAGCAGCAAAAGGGCTAAGAATTTAAATTTTACGCTTGCATTTTCCATTTCATCCTGCCATTTTAGACCACTGATAACTACTACCAGGTTGTGCTGACAGGGCATAATATAACCAATCATGCGTCACATCACTTTGATTTTAAACTTGTTTATTAAAAATTCCAGACACATCTTTAAATATTGACACGACATGCAAAGGGAGACAAATGGCTACACTCATTACAGTCATCAACCTTGTTACCATTATGAAAAAACAAAACAAAACATGAACCTATTCATGTAAGACATGTTAATCCACCAAACCATGTCCAGTATGGAGAGTAGAGATGAATCCGGTTGGTGCCTGAAGTTGGCTCTGATATGGTAGATGTTAAACATGACGCGGACTCTGACGGAAGCTGACAATAGCGGGTCTCAGCTGAATTTGGCTTTAGAGAAGTCCATCTCTGGGTGCTGAGCCATGAACCTGCAGGGACAGAAGAAGTCTGAGTCACAAACAAGGTTGTTGCCAGAGCAATTGTTGATTGAATTTTCGGTTTTTATCTACAGATTTTGTGGGTCGCATTCCATATTGAACCACCAAGTTTCTACTGTAGACCGCAACAGACAAACCAAAAACTGGCTGTAGATAGGGCCCTTTCGCATTTCTGATGACTTTCACAGCCACCGTAGTTTCTCCTACACACTACACAGTGCGTTCTCATTCCCATCTTGCCAAATATAGATGCCAGTGGTGTTTAGTTAGTTGTTTTTGTTCAGGCCCGGTGCATTCTTGTAAATACCATTACGAGCACTAGGAGGAGCCAGAGGAACCCTTTTTTTTCACAGATTATTGTGTACTACTGTCAGGATAAAGTGAAACTTTCAGCAATAATGACAAAAAGTTTTTTTTATAAAAGTTACCTTACTGCAGCTTTAAAGATGCATGATTCCTCTGAGATGAGACAACACATTTGATTGGACAGACACAATGTGAACTTTGCATCAATAAAGCAACCCTGAGCAGCTATCTTGACAACAGTCACCTTATAAAACTATACAAGATCCTTAGAGGCAGCTTTAACAAGCTTAAAAAGGAAGTAGAGGTCAACATAACAGCAGACACGTCTCCTCTGGTCTGATCTGAGATCAGCAGAAGAGGAAGAGGGGTCGTTTACTACCAGCAGTGATAAGAGAGCGTCCTTCACATCTGTCTCAAGCTTTTGACGTTAGCCCACATCCAGGTCTTATCTTAGTTATCTACTGCTCTGTGTAATATTTGACGGGCTACGTCATGGATGGACCACTCACTCGATGGAGGCTACTGCTCCTGTAGAGTGTTATGTTTTGAACAATCAGCACATATGTTCATGAGGTTAATGTACCATTTTAACACAACTCTGCATTCTAAAGTGTCAGGAGGAGCTGTTCTTTAGTATGCAAATTAAAACAGCACATTGGGGGTTTTACGTTTTAGTCCATTTACCATGAATGGGATATACTTAACTTTATGGCTGACCATTTTCTTTAAGTATACCTTTTGCTCTGGAGATGGCTGTTGGTTTCTATGAAAATGAGCTTGTAGAGACTTGAGACTTGTTTGACCAAGGTAATCCATACATGGAACAACATGCTGCCTATATTCTTATTAAGGTTACCAGAATTTTAAACTGATACAATACTAGTATAAAAAGATGATACGCAATTATACCTGTCCAGCAAAATGTTTAGTGTTCACTGACAAACTACTTTACTCTGTTTCCCTAGTTTTTCCTTCAAAGCAAAGTAGTAAAGTCTAAGCTCTCTTCTTTTTTCGTCTCATATGTCCTTGGATCCAAAGAACACCTGTTTTTTGATACCTGCTGTTGTTTAGTAGCACTCCTTCACCAATCTACTGGCATTTCCTCCCTCTATAAACCCAGCGCTAGCTCCAGATAGTGTTTCTCAAACTTTTTACACCTCAAAAAATATTAGGCCTTCCAATTACTACCATTATGACCGACGTGAAAATACAACAGGCCGACCTCCAGTTTAAGAACCGGAGCTAATTTGGTGGAAAAGGGGTACCCCGGGTCACGACTGCAGTGTTTTTCAACCATTTATTTTACCTCCACTTACCATTACATTTTAGCTTCTAAAACTTCTCTAAAATTAATTATTATCAATTAAAATGTTGTTGTATTTTGACAGTATTATTTGTTTTTAAGTTAAATTTATTTCATTACAAATATACATACATTTCAGAGATTCTTCTGCGTACCACTAGAGGCAGTTTGAGTAAACACCAGTGGTACACGTACCATCATTTGAGAACCAGACAGAGCCTTTTGCCACCACTGTAGTTCCTTCTGCGCGCTTGGAACGGGAGGGTGAGGTAATGCACCACACACCAAGAGTGCAACTGTGTTACAACCATTTGACAAAACACTGACGTAATTTGTGTTAGGCTCCTAGTTTTCTGTGTATTTACAATGTGAAAATCATAGCACACCAACAGTGGTTGGAACACAATTTATAGTTAATTGGATAAAACATGCAAAAACAGATTCATACCTTTAAAGTGGACCAAAACCCAATAGGATCATCTGGAGAACCTGTAGTCTAAGTTACCATGTACCACCATCATAGAGGGCAATTTTACTAAACTATTAAAGATATCATGGCGGTTTAACTGGTGCTCTGAGACAGTAACACGAAGGAGTGAAAGATTACAACTAGTTTCTGGTCAGATGTGTCTCCTTGAACCCTAGGTCAACCCCGTCTGTGCGAGGCAGAAGATGGTACAAACGCCACACTATCTTTTATTGCCTATAGTTACAGCAGGGGAGCCTGGCCTTGAGCAGAAGCTGGGAACACACTGAGGACTAGACAGGCAGCCTTCAAATTCACTCGTCTAATAAAATCTTTATACATCATAAAGCTTCTGTTAAACTGACTATGGATACAGTGTCGGCTTCGGAGAGTTAGCCAATAAAACACCATAGAATTCGGCTGACAGAGAATAAAAAGACCTTTCAAGCTTCGTGATAACAAAAACCGAGCAGGTGTATTACTTGGCAGTGATGTTACACTGGCAGCTTACTTTTTAAGAATGTCTTGTTTCTTCTGCTCTTCAGACGTAGGCAGGCCCATTGATTTCTGCCTTTGGTCATACATCATCTTCTCTACCATCCCACGCGTCTCTCCGTCCAGGTCTGACAGCTGCATGGCAGGAAAAACACAGTGAGGATAGGGCAGAACGTGTAGGAGGCAGAATACACCTGAAGGCTTAAACTTCACATCTTTTACCTTTGAGTTCTCTGGACAGACTTTCTTGGTGTTAATTTCTGGATCTGTGGTAACAATCTTGCTCCACCACTCCATTTTATTAATCTGAAATTAAAGAACAAAGTTTAGCAGTTCTTTCATTGACTTTGTTACTGCTGACACAGACCAATGGTTAGAATTCAACTCTGTTTTTACCTTTTCCAAGTGGACAGTAACAACCTTGCCATCGTCGATGAGCCAGGAGCTTTCTTCTACCTTCACCTCGTTGTAAAGCTGGCCGTCGATGACAGGAGGCTGTCCCTTGAGGCCGACCTTGATGGAGCGTCGCTGGATGTCCACCACTACATCTCTCCCCTTAATGCGGAACTTGACGTCGAAAGGCACTGTCAGCTGTAGGAGGATATTAAAATAGACACTGCACATTAGATTCTCTTTCATTTGTGGCTATCAAAACTATAACATCAACTAAAAGAGAAAACTGAGGGTGGAATCATTTGATGTTTCTGACTGGCAACATCGTTGAGATCAACACAGTGGAACACAGCTAACAGAGGATTCAATCATACCCACAGCTCAGTGACTAGACACTCAGGTACAGAAAGGTCAGTTACATTTAGTAAACTTTACTTATATAACATAAATGAAAGATTTGTCTAGGGTTACCCCCTTACAGTCGACCCACTTTTCATTAGTCAGATAGTCGCAGAAAAACAAAAACGTTAAACTCTGTTTGCGAGCTGCTCGTCACTGGGATGAAAGTATCAGGTGACTGTTGCAACACGGACCTGTTCTCTTGTAACACAGGGAGTCACTTACCGCTGCACTGCTGCATATGCTAACTGTACTAGCTGCCTGCCAGTACCCAGACTGGGAGCTCAAAGGACGGGGGGGTGTTTAACACTATTCTTACTACATTTTAGAATTTAGACTCCTGTGTACACTACCTGCGCCACAACAAACAACAGAAAGACTGTTAGAGACTAGCCGGTGAACATAGCGGAGCATTTAGCAGCTAAAGCGCCAGATATAGAGCGAATATTGGACATGCATTCATCAGGTGGGCAGAAACACGACTGCATATCAATGATAATGTTGCCATCCATAACTACTGGATGTATGAAATATAAGCTACTGCTATAAAAAAAAGGCCTTCTATTAATGTAGTGCATGTCAATGTTGTGTTCATAGGTTATCTCTGCTGCCCCCAGTTATTTCAAGTTTAAGAGTTAAGTGCTTTTACAAATGCTCCACAAAGATACATCCTCCCTTCATTCCATGTATATAGGTGACTATACAATCCATTAACATAACATAACGCCTTTCCCACCCAGTAAATGGTGTAAAGAGATACTGACAGCATTTTAGGTGAACATTCTCTACTATTTCTGACAAATTCAGGCAAACGTTTGAATATAAATCAATCAAAAGGGACATTATTGAGCAGACCAGTGGCACAGGTGCAACAACTCGCACATTAGGGCAGAGGTCCAGGTATCAGGGCTCCAGAGTGCGACCAACATTTTTAAGAGTGCGACTAATAATTTTTCTAGGTCGCACTGCTGCACCTGATGCTGCCCGGGTGAAAACACACATTTATTTCGCAAGCGCATCATCTCTCTGTGTTCTCCTGTGACCAAACTCACACACTCATGGTAGGATCATATCGTGTTCTAAACCAATAAGAGACAGAGCTCGGGCGGGTCTTTGTCTCTGATTGGCTGTGGTCCTGTTCACCGCGCTAAGTTGTGTGTGTTTAAAAATCGCAGAGCCCCGGTCCTTCGGCGACAGCATCAGACTCGGAACCAGAGGAGGGGAAAACCGAGTCTGGGATAGAGCCCGGCTCCGAGACCCAAATTAAAAAGGCCAAAATATATTCCTTCAGACAGGACTGGCTGAAACAATTTCCCTGGCTGAGGTACAACAAAGGACGTAACGCAATGCACTGCGTGTACTGTCAGGAGTGCGGTCAGAATATGGCCAGAAATAGTGCATTCGTGAGCGGGTCAACAACGTTTCGTTTTGTAACTTTAAAAAAACATAACATGTCTAAAAAACACACGATATGCCGTGACAAGTGTGTAGAGAAAGTGGCCCCTCTCCCAGCTGCATTTCAGTGGCAGGTAGTAGTAATCATTATTATTATCATTAATAATTACTTTACTTGAAATGTTTGAGTTTGAAATGTTCAATTTCAGTTCAGTGAAGCACTTTAACACTTTATTTTTCTTTTTATATATAATTGTGCTTCAAATAAAGACAAGCATTTCTCTACACCTTATTCTTGTTTAAAAATCATTTACATTATATGAAAGTTATGGAGAGCGGTAAAAAGGTGACCATACGGCATTAAAGGCAAAGCAATGAAAAATTTGGGTGCACCTAAATTTTGTGCTGGTGCACCTAAAAAACAAAGTTAGGCGCACCAGTGCAGCCAATGCAAAAAGTTAGTCTGGAGCCCTGAGGCATGTAGAACTGGGCCGGTTGTTAAAGAAAAACAGTGAGGGAAGGAAGTGAGGATCTCTCTCATGATCCAGGGTTTTTTGGTAAATATCTGGCTGTCCGAGCAGTAAGATGATAAGGAAAAACCTACCGAGAGGATTAGTAAACACAATTGGTGATGCAGAAGTTCTTTGATGAGTCAAAGCATTATCATGTTCAAGTCAAAAGGCACTCACGTCAACTTCAGACAGACTCTGTGTCCACTTGTAGTTTGGCAGGTCAGCTCCGTTCTCCGCATTAGGCTTCAGTTTATCTTTGTCCTTCTCATCCTCCTCTCCCTCTGAGTCAGACTGTGGAAATGGAAATTAAGTTGAGTGCGTCAGCAGAACCTGATTCTGCTGCTCATCAACACCAAACTGCAACCTTTTTACACCAAACCTGTTCACTCACCCCCTTCTCTTTTTCTGCTTTGTCAGATGACTTTTCTACGTTTGTTGTTGCATTAACCTTTTTCTCCTCTTCATTCTTCTTCTGGAATATACATATAACACAAAAAATAAAATAAAGTAACATTCATGATACAACAAAGGCATTATTCCACATTAAAGCCACACGGCTCACATGTTGCACCTTGTCAAGTTCAGACTGAAGTTTCTCTGCTTCTTCATCGGTCAGTTCCTGAATTCTGGGGCCGTCATCCTTTTTGTTCTTTTTTCTCTCTTCCTCTGCTAACTTGGCGGCTCTTTCAGCTTTCTCTTTCATCTCCTTCTCCCGTTTCATTTGCTGCTCTTTGTGGACCTTCTGTGCTAGCTTATTGTGGTGGGCAAAAGCATCATTGACGAGCTGAAAGAAAGCGATGGCAAGACATTTGGCGTAAGTGGAGGTGTGCCTCTGCCCCTACATCATGCAGCACTTAGTCTTAAATGCCACAGAGGCTGCAGATACAGTAAGATCTGCTCACCTTCTCTGCAGCACTTGCAGCTCCTCCATCACTGTCTCCACCCGTGAAGAAATCAGTTTTCCGGCGGAGGAAGCTGAAAAATGTGTTTACTAACTATTGAGAGAAAAACAGGCTGTCACAAATTCGGACTTTTGTATTTGAGCATTAAGTATGACTGGACAGTGCTTCATTTACACACACAGCACCAGACATACCTATACATTTATCTGCTTTATAACTAGTTTGCACATCAACCTTACTTTCTCATATTGACATCCCACCTCCTGTTATTTATTGTTTATTGATCTATCTGCAAATGATTTCATTAAATTTGGTATAGCAAACTATTGAAACACATAATCTTCATCCTTCCACAAACTCAGCTGTCTAAACCTTCTGATCATTCAAAAACGTCCTTTTTTATTAGAAAAGTAATGTGCGGAAGGAAAAAGTCTGGTTCTTCTAGAAATGTCAGCCATTTCAGACCCCCCCCCTCACACAGGATCCAGCATCTTAATGCTACACACAATAGTTAAAATATAAAACGAATATTCACAGCATTTTGTTACAGGAGAAAATGAGTTGAACAGGAAATAAAATGAGATTTTACTGAGACTTCGCGCCGCTTTGTTAGTCACATGTGTGCCGAGCTCAACAGAACACCCCATAGATTTCAAACTTCAACAAGAGAGCCTACTGATACTGATAACGACAGTCAACAGCCTGTAAAACAGCTGACAGCGTTTGTTTTCACTGTAATGCAATGCTTACAGGAGAGGTGTGTTAGCTTTCGAGCTAACTAACGACCGTTACACAGCAGCTTTAGCATGGCAGCAACCACTGAGTTACCTCTTGGACTCCTCCTTCGTGTTGTTGCGCCATAACGAGCAACATGCCGTCATACTTTTCTTCGTCGTCACCCATATTGGTGGTTTACAGAAGGGAAGAATAAAACGCTAGCTGTGAGGTGACAAGCAAAAAGTTAGGTTAGCGCTTAGCGACAATGTGAGGCCCGTAGAGTCACGCTACTCACTTCCTGGAAACAAACTCCGCCTACGCTTGATTCGACCAATCAGGAGAATAGATTTGAAGTGACAGCCGAACTATCCAATGAAGTGAGAGATTTGGTTCAGGGCGGGACTGAGGAGCCCAGGAAGAGTGAGAATTTTCTAGAAGAAATTTATTTAATTATAATATAATTTTAAATCACGATATTATCCATTTAAAACTGAATGTATAATATCATATATAAAAATATATAAACATAAAAATGAATGTAGTTGCTTAATTAATTTTTTAATTGCCCGTAAGTTCATATCTACGGAGCCCCTAAAGGGACATGGGGACATTATTGTGAACATTTATAAAATTATATCTGCACAAAAAGTACAAATAACAACTTGAAATAAACAAAGATTTTGCTTCCCTTAGTATCAAAAAAACTAATTGTTTAGTGGAAGGTGACTAGGCTAGTGGAATAAAATCCTGAAATTACAATTGTTGTACAATTTGTAGGCCACCACTTAGCTTTTATTTATTCATTCTTTCCATTTTGGACAACAGACAACTTCTCTTGCCATACAAGACAAGTACAAGTGTTACTCATAAGCACAATGATGATGACAAAGGTTTTTTTTTATGTGTTTATTTTTTTTATTCATATGTATTTTTACGCCATCTACAATCTTATAAAACAGAGAAAAGAAACATAAAAACAGTTTAAGAATACGACAGCTATCAACCCATTTAAGATGTTAAAAGTAAATGTATTTTTAACGTTATATTATTAGTGCTACCATAGACCATAGATACAGTATCATTAGAAAGTGTTATCCATAGGAGCTACTGGATGAGTTCACAGTTCACAGCTCTGGCCCAGATTACATATCTGAGGGGCCCTACATGAAATGATTGCACCTTAATTAAGAGAACTATTTTTTTAGTATTTCCAATACACTTTGTTGCCTGTATCTCAATTTGTTCTCATGACAGAAAATTTTATTAAAGAAAGGGAAAGGGGGGGGGGGGAGTTAAATTTTCAAAATTTAAAGAAAAAGAAAATGATTGGGTTCTTTCATGTAGGTCCAAGGTGTATCTAGGGCACAGGTCAGGTGCCAGCCTGTGCCTTGACCCCACCAGTCCTTGATAGACCGGTACAGGCTGACTTAATGACTGGGGCAAACATGATAAATGTCATTCACCCCACAAGCTTCTGTAGTTCCCTCTGCTGAGCCTTATCGCCACCACGTGGAGGGAATCTAGATCCTTCTGCAGTGCATGGGAAGTCCACAGTCACTTCTAAAAAGGGAGGGTCAAGGCTGAGCTTGTCATGAGCAGGTGACATCCTGGATAAATAGGGCCTGAGCTTATGAAGTTGTGACACTGTTCATGCTGCTTTTAGGAGCTAACTGGCCTGTTTTCTTTCCATTTGAAGAGCATTCTGCACATAGATCTTCCTTCAGGATGTTTCCTCTGGAGGAGATTACAAACAACACATGCTCTGCTTACCGGGATCAGCATCCTCACACTATCCTTTACAACATCTTGAGCGGGAGGGACAGCGGATACCTCAACAACAAACTGAACCACAGCGGCACGGCCCGCAACTGCCACTGTGAGCGGAGGAGGACAGTTTGCCTTAAGGACCCGAAGGCGACATGCCAGGTTGCCTCCAGTGTGCTCGTCAAAACCATCTGCTTTGTGAGGAGTTTACCCTCCTTCAGTCAGCTTCCATCAGGAGATCAGTCGTCACTGTTAAGACACTGCTGGGTTCCTTTATTTGTTCTGGGGCTTGCCCAGGAAAAGATAGTCTTTGAAGTGACGGATGAACCAAATTTAAGCATCCTTAGACAGATTCTGCTCGGACCAGGACTCACTGAAAAGGACACTGACCGACCAACTCTTGCAGAAGTCCACAAACTGAGAGCTGGCTTGCATCAGCTGTGGAATCTGGATCTCAGCCCAAAGGAATACGCCTACCTGAAGGGCGCTTTGTTATTTAACCCAGGTAAAACAACTTTTTATTGGTTATGTTTCAACACCTTATCGGTGTGCTGGATACGAGCCTTAACACATACTTCTCTTTGCAGCTGTTGAAGGGTTGAGTGCCTTGCTGTTCATTGAAGGCCTTCAACAAGAAGCTCAGAGAGCTCTCCAAGAAGTCATCCACCTCCTGCACCCGAAGGACGACGTTCGCTTCAGCCACGTCCTTCTGGCAGCCTCCGCCATTCAGACTGTCAGTCACAGCCTGGTCACAGAGCTCTTCTTCAAGCCAGTTATCGGCAACACAAATATGTTACATTTATTAACAGAGATGTTGTTTGTGCAATGAGACCCCAGTGAGAAAGCCTTGTATGAGTGAGTGTTGTAATATGAAATTTTATACAGTGAACCTAGTTTAAGAAGCGCTTGAAATAAATCTTTTAATAGCTTCTTCAGCTTGATGAAGTTATGCTTTTAAGAATTTCACAAGTTCTGTGAAATCATAAAAAACAACTACACTTGTGAAGAAATGATCAGATTATTTTAATTGGGGGGGGGTAGGATTTCAAAGCAGCATGGTCTGATCTAAAAAAAAGTAAGCATACTTTGACTCCCTCATGTGGCCACATGTGGGAAACAACAAGCAAACAACTTCCTCCTATTGTTTCACTTCACTCACTTTACTGTTTTTACAATGGCACATCATTTAAAAGACGGCTTACACACACCTTTGCTGGAAAATATAAAGTACCATACCTCAGTTAAAGGCCCAAGCAGAGAATGTAGATGTATGAATGAAAACACAAATGCTATGCTTCAGCAGACAGTTCAACAAGTTAATTAGGACAGTTACAGTTAGCCGTTAGGATGACACAGACACATTCATCGCTTCCTAAATAGTCGAGTGACGTTTTGTGCTTCTTGGTCAAAACCAGAGCAACTAGTTTCACATCATTTCATTATAACCACCCGGGTGTTGCTGCCAGATTCTTGACACACTAAAAACATACTGTATATTACCTGGAGGCACCAAAGTAGTTAATTCAGTATACTTTTAAGATAGGTCACAAGAGGTTAGATGTAGTCTGGACAGTAAAACCACATGTTTACAATATGTGCATTAACTGAAGGCACTACAAAAGGGTGCATAATCTAACGCTGATAAATTCCACTGAGTCAGCTGGCCAAATTCCCATCAGCACCCAGGAGCAAACACGGCGAGCATGTTGGGGAGAAGAAGAAAAGAGACATTCACTTCATGAGTCAGCTTGGTATATAATGATTCATTAATAAATTATAGTTAATAGTACATGATGCAACCGAGAGTCTAACTACATTTTAAACCAGCTTTCATAACGTCTTTCAATTTGAGAGCTGAGTTGCAGATGGGAAGGCCACAAACAGTACCCAGAATGCATCAAACACCTGGTTAACGTAAGAGCTATCTGCTTCATATGAGCTTCTATAACACTAATAACAATATGCTTTGGGAAAATAAATCACACTCCACAGGCATTGTATGAACATCATAAAAGTCACAAAAGAAAAAAAAAAAAAGTCGATTTTGACATAAAAAAAGAACAAAAAATTCAAGGTCCACTAGCTTTTTCCAGATGTCAACTTATTATCTACTCTCAAATCTGTGTGGTAAAAATAAGCAGTCAGTTAGCTTAGCTTAGCATAAAGACTGGAAACAGTGGGAAGCAGCTAGCCTGGCTCTGTCCAAAGGCAACAAAATACACCTACCAGCACCTTTAAAGCCCACTCATTAACATGTTCAATCTCATTTTTAATTACAGAAACAGAACTGTAAATACAACTAATTGTGGCAGAGAAATAGCCCAGTGTATAACCCAAGAGCCATAATTTGACATTTTTACACCTTGATTTTCCTACAGAATAAATAAACAAAATATAACGTGTCAATTAGTGAGCTAAAAACCACTAGCCACAGTTAGCCTGAAATATCACTGAAACTGGGCGCTATCCAGACAGACTCTGTGGACCAAACTACGATACTCTCCCAGTTATGTCCTCTCTTGGTTTATTTTGGGTACCCAGCTTCAATGTCTGTGTCTGGCTTACAGTCCATGCTGGTTGTGCTGCAGACTGAGAGATGAATCACTGTCTTAAGACCTTAAAGCTCAATCATTAACATGCTCTATTTTTTTTAAACTAAAGTACAGAAACAGATTTGTACACTTTGTTTTTGTACGGAATAAAAAAAACAAAATATAATGTGTTAATTAGTTAGCTTTTGAAGTGTTACCTTCGGACAGAACCAGGCTAGCTTTTCCAGTCTATATGCTAAGCTAAGCTAATTGGGTGTAGCGTATAACTCCCTGCAAGAAAGCAAATAAAGCATGCCCCACCACGCATACATAAAAAAAAACCAACCAATATTATAATATACAGGATTTTGAACCAAACTCCTTTTTTTCCTGACAATGATTCTTACTTCATCTTTTTACACTATTGCCACTTCTATGCACTCTTACATCGATTTGAAATATGTCAAATTATGAAAACTATCAGAACATAATTTTCCAGAATACACAACTTACATAACCACTGAATTGAACACATTGAATACACTTTAAAATCATACAAATTAGTTGAAAATCAAATCTATGGTGATGAAATGTGCCCAAAAAAATACAGCTCTGTACTTTCTTTTTACAAAACTAAATCCAAATGTCTTCTGCATAATAACAGCAGAATATCCTGACGATGCCGCCAGATTTCATGAACAGAACTCGGTTCTTCCTTCAAGGACGAGAGGACGGTTAACCGTGATAAAATATCTAAGAGCCACTGAGAGCTGCTGGTGATATCTGCCTGCAGGGTAAGCGCTCAATAAAGCAATCCTTCAAATATACACATAATATTCATCAACCATAAATATCTACACACAGAGCCCTGAGTTCACTGAAGTCCTTCAGACAATGTGAATTATCACATCTTCATGACGTGGCTTTAGGAAACAGCGACGCCATGGTCTTTACAAAGAGCTCGGCTCAGCCAGACTCCTGTGCAAGTAGTGTCGCCTTTCAACGTCCCATATGTGACCTTGTGGACACGGCATGACAAATAATTCAAGCATAGATCGCCAGTGCAGTGCAGGAATCATGTTCTCACATAGGTGCGAATTAGTGGGACACCTGAAGAATTAGTTTCTGTGTGAGAGGGTGAGTAGGCGGTCGGAGAACCAGAAGTATGACCTGTGAGAACAAAAAGAGACACGGTAATTCCTCAGCAGTCACCTGGAGAGGAGACTGCGCATTCATTCTGCTCACTGCATTCCCTTTTCACAGTTAACTGCAACTAGACATCTGGGATATTTTAATTTCAAAAGAAGCAACAGGAAAAAAAACAAGCATTGTAAAAATGTCTTTCCAACAAAAGCCACTTTTTTTAAACTTAAAAGTACCCAGTGAAGATTTAGACCACTAGTAGCACTTAGGAGCTATGTTTTTATGTGTGGCTATGTTTTGTTTGTTCTCATGCACGCACATGCCGACCAATACACATTCCTGCCAATGGTTCCATACTATTCCAGGTGGAGAAGAAGACTGCTGGCATATAGACAGTGCAGGTTCATTTGTTTGATTTGTTGTGTTTCTGTAACCAAAGAATGAGCTGTTTTTATTTACAGTTGTTAGAGTTGCAATTTGCAACTACACTGCTAGATGCCACCACATCCTACACACTGGACCTTTAAGTCCTGTCTCAGAGGTTGTTTCGTCCCCTTGCACACTTGATGTGATGAACATGTCATGGTACGTATAACGTTGCAAATGTTTTACGAGGAAGGAAATTCCTTCAACATATTTGTTAGACCTCGAGGACACAACCTGCATTTTAGTGAGTGACACTGAATATAAACAGAAACTCCACAGGTCGCCTTTAAGAATCGAGATACCTTAACCTGAGTGAATTTAAGTGTTTAAATCAACTACAGAGATGTTTTTAGCATGGCAACTTATACAGTTCACTAAGTTAAGAACACCAACAGCTTTATGTGTTTTTTTGTCCAGGTCAACCCCTGTTGCACCTGACAGTGTAACATCATCTACTTTTTAATATTCTCTCAAGTCCCCTTGAAGGCCTCCCATCGAAGAGCACTGTGCTTTAGCATCATCAGATTCATGTCAGACTATTACCTCTTTCTTCCCCTTTTGTCACAGCTCTGATGACACATCGCAGGAGCAGGTGAACAGGTTGCATTTATCAAGTTGAAACAAGACGTTTATGACAAGTATGTGCGGTGAAAAGAGTTTGCTGAAATCCACTGTGAATATTTGTATCAGCGAAAAGAGATTTAGGATACAAAGACGTACGTTTTCTTAATTCTAGCCTGTGTTTGTCTATACAGGAGCATGTACATCCTGCAGTACTGGACCACCTAGCTTCAGTCTTGCAGATAAAAATGATTTCCATCTTAGTCTGTCTTATTGATGCAGCCCTGTAAATAAGCTCAGGGTATATTTTAACCGTACCTTAGTTAGTCCACACATGAATATTTGTCCCCTGACCCACATTGCCTTCTATTGTTTAGGTCGTTTTCTATATGGTTTACCCAACAAACATTCACACGATGGTTTACATGAAGGAAGAACTCAAAATCTCAAGGCATGTTTGTAATGTGTTCCGACTCACTGCTGTCAGACTAAAGGAAGAAAAGACTTAGTTTGATTGCATGACACATGGAAATGGCATTTAATAGCTAGTTGTAATCACACAAAAGCAAACTGTAAAATAACACCAGTAGTCAAGCACCTGCACAGGACATAAAGGACACAGAGGTCATGTCCTCTGTATTTATACTGGAAAATAAAGCTGTTTTAGAAACCCGGGGGGCGACTACATGCTACAATTAAAAACATAAGACAGAGTCCAGCATTTATAATGAATATATTTACATTTAAGTACTTTTAGGCAAACAATCTTAAAGTGTAATCTTAAAATATGGTATCAGGTATCACGTATCGGCGAGTACGTGTGTCAGCAGTGCCTGGTTTGACATTTTTCTTTCCCCCAGCATGCCAAAGTCAGTCTCTACTCTAACAAGCTGAGCCAGGCCATACAGCAGTCATACAGGCTTAGTAGTATACACCGGTTATAAATAATATATACAGTACAGGCTCTTTAACGTACTTTTCAGGTACTCTGAATCAACTGATACACAAAGTTCAGGAATTGAAATAAAATATGTTAAGAATGTAACAGTATATTGTGTATGTAATAACATAATAAAGACAGATTTCTTACCTCCATTGGTCCTCCACATCTCTCTGGCACACTTGTCAGAGGAGGTCAGTTCTGATATTTGGATGTTTGGATTTGATTTGTAGTCATCTTGAGGAAAAAAATTAGAGTTATCGTTACTTGAAGGCAGAAATGCAAGGTGTTTCAGGGGAAATACTGAGTTATTAAGTCTAAAACCACCACTTACTGTTGTTGCTGAACGAAAAGGAATCGCTGTCCCTCATTGTCTCGTTCCCGCTGTCCGACAGCGTCCTCTCCCTCCTCGTGATGGGCGGCCGCTTCTTCGTACTTTTCCGAGTGCTGATGCGGATGATGCCGCGCACCAGCCGACACTCGGCCTCCTGCTCGTCCATCTTGTGCTCCTCTGCCAGCGAGTTGATGAGCTGGTTGATGGCCTTGCTTTTCTTCAGAAACACAGAATCCGAGGTGCACCTGGCCAACTCTTCGATCTGATATTCAGAGTACAGCTCCAGCAGCTTCTTGGTGATCAGAGAGTCCACGTTCTCCTCGCCGTCCTCCCAGTCATCAAACCTCATAGACTCATGCATGGATGGATGGATGGGCTGTGTTGGACCACCAGACGGAAGCACATATGATGTAGATTTGGTTTCAACGTCTAAATACGCTCTCGGGCTGTCAACTTTGACTCCGGCGAAGTGGACGTCCTCTAGCCAGTCTGTGCCGTCCTCTTCTTTGTGCTCTCCTGGGTTCACAGCTCGGAGGCTCACCTTCTCTGGTTCGTCTGGGGAGCTCTCGTTTGGCGCCAGGCACGGAGCGAGGATGGAGCGCTGGCAGACCCTATACAGGCCGCAGGTGAGCACGCTGCACATAAAGGTCCTACAGCCCCTTGGGGAAGCGCAGGGATTGCAGGTTTGTGTTACAGAGGAAGGGTCAGCTGAGCCAGGGACGAAGCCAATGGTCTCAGACTCCTTTCCATTCGCATCTTTGAGGTTGGCTTTGTGGACTGTCTTTGGCTCTGGAGTCGGGAGCCTGTCTTCCACCGGGTCAACACAGCGCTCCTCGTAGGACGACCTCTGGCTGCTGCTCCGGCTGGGTCCATGCCGGTAGCTGCCAGGGCCCGAGCCGTGTCTCTGACTGCCAGTGCTGTCGGCAGACATGACTCACAGGCTTCACGGTCTGGACAAGCATGAGGGGAAATTAAGGTCAATTAAGGTGTAACTAAATGGTAAGACAGGGTTGACAAGGCACCTTTAGCCACCTGAGGGCATCTCTCTTGAAAACAAAGTGAAACTACTATCCCCAGGTGGCGGGTAAAGTAACCCAACTGGTTCTCATGAGGATGTGTAAGCACACATTCAAAGGCAATGACATATCAAATTCCCCTTTTGATGTCATGGGGATTTCTAAAACTTAACTTAAATGTTTAATTGTAACATACAGAGTGTAACTTTTACACACAAACAAAACTATTACATGAAAGGGTTAAAAAAAAACATCCCATTCATCCTCTTAAACACTGGGATGCTCAATCCAGGAAAACCGAATTTAATTTAGACATCTTGGAATTAAATGAATCTGTTCATCAGTTTGAATTCTGCACCTGCTCAACCAAACATATAACAATGCCATCATTTAAACTGATTCCGTCAACTGGCTGCTAGCTAGAACTTTCTGAAGTCTGACAGCCACTGTTATAGCAAACCTGTGTAAAAGCAATTTGTATTAGAGTAAGCAAGCACTGTTGTAGGTTGCACGAACGCCGAATTGAAGAATAAATGTAATTAAATCTGAGTTTATCTTCGGGTATGTTTTAATTGCTATACGTATTTAATGAAAACATAATACGCATTAAATTGCCAGATTCCCAGATAGTGTCTGGCCTTCCGTGCGACGACGGGAAGTGTTTGGACGAATGTTTACAGGAGTCAATCCATGTAGTTGGGTAATAAACAAACAAGCCAAATACAAATACACTTTTGCTCCTTTTTCTCAAATGTAACCTCTACAATTAATAAGCCTACGAGTTACAGTTTAACACACATTAGCCTCAGGACCCCTTTCCTGTATAAAAATGATTTTCACTTTCATGGCGACTTGTCATCGCGGCTCTTTCCTCCATTAGAGGACTTAGGAACTTCTCCCTAAACATTACTCACAGTGTACACGGTGCGTCCACAAAATTACTCCCGAATTAATGTTGTCGTCTCCACCTTACAGCAAACATTTCTGGTTTTAATCCATTTTGAACGTCTCCAATGTCAGCTCCGCTCCAAAAATGCCAGTTTCAGTGAAGTTTTCGACCAAATCCGTGTACCTGAGCGTCAAGGTGGAGGAAACGTACCAGGTAGCTGCAGCAAGAGGTTGGACTTCCGGTTATGGCTTAAACAATAAAACGCAAGTTAAATTGCCACTGTGACTTTACTTTTTTGTTTGCGATTTATTTATTTGTATTGGTTTGATAATTGTATTGTGTTTTTTGCTATTTTAATTCATTCATTTATTTAGTTTTTTGGGGGACTTTATGGCTGTGCTATGACTTGCCGCTTAGCTTATATTTTATGAGGATACATATATTGTTATGACGTGGTTTTTTAGCTACTCCAGCCTTGGTATCATAGCTCAATGTCCAATGTAACGGGCAGTGTAATGTTATGTTGTGTTTAAGAAATTCAAATGCCATTTTATCTGGCAATAACAAAACGCCTCGCAGATGTATTTAAATCACATAGCAATTAGACAAACGAGCACACCATGAAATACAACATAAGCCCCCCACACAACTCTTATTTTGATATGATATCCGGTGTGATGCCGAGTTCTGCCTACCTGAGGAGAAATGCACGCCACTCGCGGGAGCGCGCACAGCGAAAGCAAAACGAGCAGACATTGTAATGATCTCTAAGGCAAAGTACTATTTAAAAATAATCTTCTTTGTCTGGTTCATCAGTGATGATAAATGATCTGAAGTGTAGAGTTTATAGACGTTTAGAGTCATTCATGTTTTATTAGACTCAACTGAAGTGGCATTTTCTCTCCTTATTTGATTATGTGTTTCCTGTATGCCCGCCACATGCCAGACTACTGTTACTAAAGTCCTGCTGCCTGTCTAATTAACATGCCTTCCTGCTAAGTGCCTTTGGAATTTTACCTGATTTGACTGCCTGTGGCCAACTGTCTGCACACCTGGCTGTTTATTGACTTTTGAATATAAATGCCTTTAACTCAACCAGCCATAACGCAGTGTCTACAGCGGGGTCATGCTGCCTGCTTCTACACTTGTGACAGCTGGACAGAAATGTAGTCCCTCTTATCTTTGGGCAGGAAAGTGTCACATGTATCAAATTCCCTCTGTCAAGATGTTAATACCGTTTGATTTCTGAGTGACCAAAGAGAAAGTGAAGGGGTGGCTGCATGATTCAGCAGAGTTGGATTTTTTAGCTCCAGAGAAATGCATCCTCTGTATTACTCTTCTCGTTTTTCTTGAAAAATGGATAACAAAGAAGTTTAGAATAACAATAATATATCACTAATATAATCAGGCGTATGGTCATCGTCATTATCATTATTACTATTAATCTACACTTAAATACATCCTGCATTGCAAAGTAAAGTAGGATATAGATTTTTCTAAGCCTGTGGAGTGAATGTGACTGGAATACGGTCTCACAGTGTCCGTTTAGAGAGTTTATTTACTTGGCTACCTATTTGGACTTGATTTGTTTGGCACTGCATGTGCATAACTTGCTTGTAAACTACTGTAATTCTGTATTACATCTGAACATGCAACAGTTATTGAAATGTAGTCACTGTTACTGAATACAAATTACATGGTTGAGTTTGCTGACCATTTAGAGGCTGGGTGTGGCAGCTCCGATCTCAAATGCATTGCACAATGGAAAAACATGAGATTTAGCCCATTCATCAAGATATAGTGTACATTGTATCATTGTACACATTGAATCATGTAATCCGCTATGTAATTGTTTTTCTACCCTGAACTGACCAGGCATTTAGATACATGAGTATGAATGTGCAAGATCATGTCAGTACAATTAATAATAAAACTGGTACTTTATGCTTCCTACTAAAGAGTTTTGTAGTCTTTGACCTGGTCCTAACAGCCATATTCCACACATTATAGTTCCAAGCAGACCATTTGTAAAAGGGTTAATAGATGTCTGGAGGGGATCTTTAAATTACAGGTGGATCTTCAGTTTAACACATTTCTTACTGTCCCATGTACAAAGGTTTTGTGTTGTGTGCCAGTCTACTCAGCGACTGAGAGGTTCAGTATACTCGACTTCTGGTGCTGAAGATCTTTATCTAGCCTTTCAAGGCCTCATCATTAAGCAAGGAAACTTCCAAATTTAAGACCAATCATATCAAGGAAATGCTGATTACCTCTAATGAAACACTGATGAATCGGAACATTCATAAACATTAAGACTTAAGATCATTTATCATCATTGATGAACCCAACAAAGAGGACCATCTTGTTTTTAAACAGTACTTTGCTTTACAAATCTTTTCAGTGTCTGGAAGCTTTTGCATCAGCTGTGCGCGCTCCCGCGAGGGCTCTGCAGGTCTCTTCAGATAGACAGAACTCTTCATAACACCTGTACAGGCTATTGTTGATCACCCGAAAACGTCCTGCGTCAAGTCACACACACTGGCAGCTGGTTTACCGGATATCGTTCGACTTGGAAACTATTGCCATTTGAGACATCGTCGAGAAATAATGATATAATATAATAATGAAAGTGCGAGAGGTATTCAAATACATTATGTGGCCATTCAGTTTTTATGGCTGCTATCATCATCCTTCCTAAAATGTAATATTTTAATTGGCACATTTATTTTGAAAGAACTGGAACCGGAAGTAGTGCTTTTCTTTGTGTTGAGTTTGACAGCGACCAGTTCACCCGGACGCCTAGTTTTATGGCAACGTAGCTAAACAATAGTAGTGTGCCAAGACTCTGGGTAGGAGAGCAATATGCGTAAAAAAATACGAAGTTTCAGTGCTCCTTTGAGTTCACGCACGTAGGACCTCTGGAGGTTAGCAAAAGGGTTAGCTGCTATGTGCGGGACGAGCAAGCTAACAAGCTAGCAGTGGTAACGGTACTTTAGGTTTACTGATGTTGAACAGTCCGCAGCTGGCTGAATGAATGGCACCGCTAACAAGCTAAAGACGACCAGCCGGTCTCTGCCTGATTGAAGTCTCTCTGGCGACAGTCTTTAAGAAGAATAAACGAAGAGGCATGGAAAGTAACGGGGACGTCCTTTCGAGCACCGGGTCTTCGGGTTATTTACAGCTGGATGCCCGTAGTGTAGGATTAGCCTGTTTTCTACGCCGAATGACGACATTTGCACCGTCCAGCTGCCTCACACACGAGCGTCGGTGATGCTGTCCATCGCTGGCCAAATGCCTTGGTTGTCCAGATTGGGACAGAGCACCAAAACTACCTTATAAATCATGAAAAACTGCGAGTATCAGCAAATCGACCCGCATGCACTTCCGACACCAACACCGACCCCTCCACCTCATCATGGCAGCGACGGTGACAAGAAAGAGGAGCCGAAGAGACCGAGGAGAAAGTGGGAAGTTTTCCCCGGAAAGAATCGCTTCTACTGCGATGGACGGATCATAGTGGCCCGGCAGAGCGGGGTCTTGCCCCTCACTCTGGGCCTTATTCTCGTCACAAGTGGATTATTCTTTATATTTGAGTGAGTTCATGTTTCATATTCGGTCTACGATTGTGTCATGTCACCTGCGGGTTCAGTCGTTGTCATGGTGACAAAGGTATGATATGTAAAGGACAACATTTCAATACACGTCAGCTTCCTTAACAGTAATGCAATGAGTGAGACAACCAGCTCTGTAAAATGACATTAAATCTACGCCGAACCGTGAAGCAGATCCTTATGATTCTTAAAATATCTTTATCCGTGTTTTACAGCAGCATTTTCCTAACTAATACGCAATTCAGTTGAAAATAGTTAGATTTCATAATGCAGTCTGGCAAGGTTTTACAAAAATGTACACATCAGAGCTCTATTTGTCCCATAATTTGGCTTTACAGAGTGTGAATATCTGTTTTGGTTACATACTAACATTTGAGTTTATCTCACAGCTATTAATGTGACATTACAAATTGTTTTTTATATCTTCTAATATTAATAATATTAGATTCTTTGTTCTCTGTTTTTGCACTACTTGCCCTATTTTTGCTGTGTCAACCTGAATTTCTCCTAAGGGGGATAAATAAAGGAATATCTTGTCTTATCTCATCTTATTACACTATAATATTCAATAGTGCTTGAATATGAAAATGGAATTCCTTCTATCACAGTGTAAAAGTGTGTTCTGTCTCCAGAGAGATTCTCATGGTGATTAAAGGCACTGGATGTTAATTAAAATAGGTCCCCTGGTGGATGAAAAAAAAAAGTAGGCTCAGTTGTAGGAGACAGGCACCCCCCCCCAATCTTTCCTGCCCTTTGTTATGGTCAGCACGTCTTGGTAATTCATACTCTCTGTCTGTGGCTGCCCCATATCACAGCTGTCCATTCCTGGTCAAACACCTGACCAGCTGCATACCTGTCATTGGTGGAGGCCTCTTTGTATTTGTGGTCATCACCCTGCTCCAGACCAGCTTCACTGACCCCGGCATCCTGCCCAGAGCAACGCCAGATGAGGCTGCAGACATTGAAAAACAGATCGGTAAGGGCCAGCTCAATCATCAGTGGAGTCAGATTGATATGGTTGTCTCAAGTGCTTTTGACTTTGATGTCCAGTATCATAAAATTTTAGTGTTCAGTGTTTTCACCCAGAGTGCCTGCCAGTTTATGGCACTGAATTTAGACCACTGTTGGCACTAGAACTCTCCATATGGCCTCAAACTGCTTAGGCTCAGCTCATTTCTTTATACGTTACCCTCTACTCAGTGGCATTCAATTATGTCAGACTTCAAGGACGTACTATTTGTGGCACTGTCATAAGAGCTTTCATGCAGTTTATTTTGCTTCAGAGCACAATTCACAGTTGAGACTGAAGTCATTGTTCTGCTAGCGTCGGCTATTTTACTCTGGAACTGACACATAAGGCAACTTCTAGTGGAACCTGTCGTTCTGTTGCCAGTTCATTTTAATGGTGATGAAGCCTTTGACACATTGAAGTAGATTTTCTTTGGAAGACTAATTCACCATCCAGGGCAGTGTTTCTGGAAGAAATGTGTCCTGTTGACTTCTAAAGTTTGGACTGGGAGATTTGTTATCCCCCTGACAAGGTCCTGCACAGATTCCTACCCCAATCTGTCTTTGTTCACCACCAGTCCTGTTCGAAGCAACCCATCAGTTATGTTCACAGTCAGTTTTAAGTCTTGCCAACAGTATCTTTCCTTTTCAGCATGCTTCAATATAATGACCTTCGTGTCTGAAGTTGGCTTCATGTGCACCTTGTTAACTCCTACTCATGACCAAAGTTTAGGCAGTGGTGATGTAAGATGTTTATCTTACCCAACTGCACTGCTATTTTTGAAACACAGACTCTGACACAATATAGCATACTTACCTGCTGCTCTATCTTTAAGAAAACGCGTTGGACATTTAGTTTGACTCATTATTCTCTGAACAGCTGCGTTAGGATCGTTTTAATGACTGATCCTGGAAGTTTATAAGGACACACAGCATGTTAAAATTGTAGTGTCCCAATTTGTGTGTACATGGTGTTCACACTGGAAAAGTGAAAAAATAAAGTGTACTCAAATAAGTCAGTATGCTGCTTTCAGTGTGCTGTGGTTGTAGTATTGTCCGACAATGTGGAGATTAGGGTTGCAGCGGTAGCAATAGCAGCACCCTGATACTGTTTGACCTGAATGGAACTGAACCTTAATTAATGTCATTGGTAACGCCTGTTTACGCTGCTATTTAAAATGTCAAAATGACTGCTGTGAAAAAGGTCTATTAGAGTGAGTCAGTTCACAACTGGAAGCGAATGTGTCTCACCCCGTTCCTTACAGAATTCAGTGGGGAGTGAAATCTGATGTGAGCGCACTTTAATGGGTGCAACAAAGCTCACTCTGTACGCGCTCACACGGTCCTGAGAAGAGTTCTGATTGAGCAAAATAAGGATAATACCTGTGTGTGTGTGTGTGTGTGTGTGTGTGTGGACCATGGGTGTGTAGGGGCTGGCTTTAAAGTGGAAGTCATTTAAAGAATATACAATTTCTGTTCTAAAAAAGTCTGTATAGTAGTTATAGTATATTTTAATTGACAAGGTGCTCATAATAAAAGCTCAATTGATTGAGTGAATCACATTCATTTTGCCCTTTTGTTTCTCTTTCCTGTCCTCTCCTCCTGTAGACAACACCGGAAACACCAGCTATCGGCCTCCGCCGCGCACCAAGGAAGTCCTCATCAACCAGCAGGTGGTGAAGCTCAAGTACTGCTTCACCTGCAAGATGTTCCGGCCTCCGCGCACCTCCCACTGCAGCCTGTGTGACAACTGCGTGGGTGAGCTGCAGACACACATCGACACCCTGACATTTACCAATGATAAATAATGAACGGAGGCCTCATAGGGCTACAGTGAACATAACTGCATTACTCTAGTTCAGGCTGGACTGACTTGAATGGCATACTGTAACTGTGTAGTTTCAAAACTGCTGAAGTGTTTCTCTTTCAGAGCGATTCGACCATCACTGCCCTTGGGTAGGGAACTGTGTGGGGAAACGCAACTATCGTTTCTTCTACACCTTTATCGTGTCGCTCTCCTTCCTGACGGCGTTCATCTTCGGCTGTGTGACCACACATCTAGCGCTGAGTACGTGTTTTTGCTCTGGTTCACAGGTGTTGGAAAGCAGTCAGGAAGCTGCTGATAATAGCTGCCAGCGCACCTGGCTCAAACAGCACCTGCCAGTAACTGTTAGTGTTTGCTTTGTTTGTCCTGGACTGCCAGACGGGCGGGGTTCACCACATCAGAGCTGTTTAGCTGTCTGATAAGAAAAATATACTGAATGGTTTATTGTTTTCTGTGACTGTCTGGCATTCTTTACTTGTTTCCATTTGACCACTCGCTAGAGTGTTCAAGTTATATTTCAGCCAGTAGCCCTAAAGAGTTGGTATAGAATGAACATATTTGAGAGGTGTTACTGCTCCCACATCAGGAAAATTAACTGCAACTGCTGCTTTGGGAACCCCAAAACGACCGCACACTTTCTTTTTAATGGACTTGGAAACACACATTGAGCATTGTGTCAGTCTCCGTTTTTCCTCTTTCAGGGGCTCAAGGGGGAAAAGGCCTGGTGTTTGCTCTGCAAGAGAGTCCAGGCAGATATCCTTTAATCACATATGTGTTATACAGAGTTCTTTAGCAAGATAATTCTGTCAGTGAGTATGGTTTTATTCATTCATGTCTCCCTCCTCCAATATACCGGATGTACTCCTTGACCCAGCCTTTCACTGCGGTGGAGCTCGTGATATGTTTCTTCTCAGTCTGGTCCATCTTGGGCCTCTCAGGCTTCCATACATACCTGGTTGCTTCTAACCTGACCACTAATGAAGACGTGAGTACTGCCTAGAGTTGACTTTGTTACACTACAGTTACAGTTAAAAGTAATATTACATTAATTACACTCTCTAATATCACATTTGAATAGAATTTAAAATGTTAATGTTAGCAAAACATCAGCTAACCAGCTGACTGCTGATGGATGTAAATGACTTAAGTTGTTACTTCATGGCGCTCATATCTTTAACCATCTTCAAAATGTAGGTGTTTCAAGATAGATGAGCCTAGCACATAGCATACCTAAGTACAGGAAAGGAGAATGTTGTCTGAGGTTCTGACCGAGGCTTGCTCAGCTCTCATTGGAGCACATAGGAAAAGGGGCGGGACGTACTAAGGCTCAGTTGCAGAGGAAAGCCTCTCATTTCTTTGGGAGCTAATGAATACTTCCAAATCAGATCAAGAGCTACCTTGCAGCAATTCTCAACCAAAAGTCACATTTAGATCGACACAGAAACTGCAAAATGTTGCACACTAAGTGTGTTTCATATCTTCCAGATCAAAGGCTCCTGGTCAGGGAAGAGTGGAGAAGATGTCACCAACCCATACAGTCATAAAAACATCTTCATCAACTGTTGCACTATGCTCTGCGGACCCATGCCACCCAGGTAAGTCTGAAATATCACATACAGTATGAAGTCTCTAAAGGAATCCATGCATGATTAAGACCTAAACACTAAGTCAGTTAGCATTAGCATAGCTCATCCAAAAACAGAATACATTTGGTTTTATTGATGTCCTGTATTCACATGTAAATATCAGACTGCCTTCAATGTTGCATGATGTCATAATATTTATTATTAGTTGATCTATCAATTCTTTTTTATGACAAATAGATTATTTTTATTTTATTTTTAATATTATTATTCTCTTGTTTTTTTTTAACAATTAAGCCCCAACCTGGCTGTATGATAGTGATTACAAATGCATCGACAGGTGCCGTGAGTATAAGGCTGTAATACATGTCGAGACCCATTCAGTCACTAGCTGTTGGTACTGTGATGCAACGATGCAAGTGCTCCATGTCTCTGACTCTAAATATAACTCACTCAGAACTGGCAGCATTGGACAGTGCTCAAATGAAGGTGTAGCCACAATTATTCTATATTCTGTTGGCATCGCCAAACAGCACCATAGCTCACGGCAACAATGCATCTGTATATTAGGAGGTAAAACCCAAAGCCAGGTTCTCAATCAGGGACACATTTAATTAATCAAACACACGGTGCTCCATTTCTTTCACACTTTAATTTAATCTCCAAAATGAATAAATACTTCATTTAACTTGCTCCTCAACCCAAGTATGCAGTCTTACTTTGATAGATGTGTCTGAGTTGCATATGCTTGCCTATGTGAGTTCTGCATTGTCTGTATGCAAAATGGAGACTTGTTAAATTGCAACTAACAATTATTTTCATTATCGTCAAATCTGACTATTATTTTCTTAACTTAGTTGTTTGGGCCAAAAATGGTGAAGAATATTGAACACTCTTTTCCAAAGCCCAAGATGATGTTCTTAAATGTCAACCCATTCATATTCAGTTTACGGGACTAAAGAAAGCAGAAAATACTCACATTTGAGAAGCTGAAATCAGAGAATTTGGACATTTTATCTTAAAAAATGACAGTGATCTATTATCACACTAGTTGACAACTTATTTAATAGTCGACAACTAATCGATTAATCAACTAATTGTTACAGCTCTACATTACATGTACATTTTCTTACTCAAAATGCCTTTTTAACCACCTTTTTTCATGATGTTCAATGTGCATCAGTCACTAAAGGCACATGAGATGTCCCCTAACAACTTGGATCTTGGGTCTTTTACAGCTTGATCGACAGACGAGGTTTCCTGCCCGCGGATGAATCTGTCCAGACCGCCGGCCCGGACATCGAGTTGCCCACTCTGGCGACTAAAAGCGAGATAAACGTGGTAGGAGGATCTGCCCAGCTGGCTTTTGGCTTGCAGGAATCCCCCTCTCCTGTTCCTGCACCCCCAAACTCCCACCAAAACTCTTCCTCTGCCTGACAGAAGCCGTGTTGCTTGCTCTATCCGTCTGCTGCCTGTTGTTGACTGTTGTGTATGGGTTAATCTGTATTTACACTACGGGCAGAGGTTCACATATCCTTAAAATAGGTTGACAATTTAGTGTACACTGGCATGATTTCATCAAATGAAAAAGCAGGTTGATGGAATAATTAAACTTTTGGGGAAATGTGTTTAGTTTATGTCTTTTCAACGAGTGAGAGTTCTCTGTCCTGATTTGATCAAAGGGAACGGGATACCAAAAAATGTATTCTCTGTTTCCTGCAGAAAGGAGGGACCGGGAGAGCCTTGTTACTGACTGAACACTCCATAAATAAGTGATGGCTGGCAGAGTGCAGAGCTTATTTTACCAAAACAAATATCGCTTACGACAATTGTAACGATTGCTGAACAGCAGCCACTTGTGCAACAAGTGGTATTATGCCGTAATAATAGATGCAAAAACATAGTGTAATAGTAGCACAAGAAGAGACAGAAAGGCAGCAAACTGACTCAGTAATGTCAGTTAAGCAGCAATATCTGTAGGTTTAGCCACCATAAGCTGCTGGTCATACCTGACCCAGTAATGTCTGAGTGTGTTGAGCAGGGTTGTGTGTTATTGCTTATGATTTCAGTTTGCTATCTCTGAGAGGAAGAAGGTGTTATTTGTTCTTTCAAAAGTTACATTGTTGTTTTTAAGTACAGAGTCGGAGTGAGGATGTGTTTAGCCTAGTTAAAAAATATGGACAAAGCCAGGCTAGCTGTTTCCAGTCTTTGTGCTAAGCTAACCAGCTGCTGGCAGTAGCTTCACATGTAGCGTGCAGACATGAGCATGCTGTCAGTCCTTTCAACTCTCTCTGGGGGGAAAATAATAAACGAATAATAAAGTATTCTTTTAAATTGTGATTTAGTAATGTGCAGTTGGCTGAACAGCTTAGACATATTTACCTCACAGAAATGAACAAATCAGACATTTTTCTCTTGAAATAAGCAACAAAGATACTATTCACTATATATTTTTTATGTTATCTATTTTCTCACTTTAATTTTTTTTTTTTTTTACAATCACAATCTACACCTCCAGTATTTTGTTCCTGTGCAGTATATGTCGACTCAGGGTCTTTTATGAGGTAGGAAGCGAGCAGGAGTTGTAAGAAGCGTAGACTCAGAGTTTCCAGCCTTGTCGTCCTCCTCACAGAGTGCCTCTCTCGTTCTCTCTGACGGCAAGGGATATAAAAGGATGCCTGGAGAGTTGTAGAGCGACTGTTGTTTACAAGACGTATAACTACGGTTCTGATAGAGTCGCAGTGTGAGTAACAGTGCTCTCATATCGAGCAGTGGAGGAGCTGCTGTTTGAAAGACAAACAGCTTTTTGTTTACAGCAAAATAACAAGACCGCTATAAAGCTTTTTGTGTGTACGGAATAAACTTAGACACAGGTGAAGCTATAATGTGTCTAGTCTGAACTGTATGTGTGTGTATAAGTAGTCTTTTGAATTCACTCGATAGACTGGCGAAGCTGTGAGAGAAGCTTTTTCTGCACCAACAGTTCCTTGTTTTTTATTCTGTGTTGGTTCACTTTCTCCTGTCTTATGTTAACAGTCATGTCGTGCCAAATTATTTGTGACACATCAACCTTATCAACATCATTTGTTTCCCTCCATGCCTTTATTCCTTGTTTTCATCTGTTTGATATGTCCATTTAGTTTTTATACATATAACTATTTTGTCAGTATCTGAAATGTAAAATATTAATAAAACATGCATTTTTTTGCCCATGCAATTCATCATCTGAGTACTCATTTTTCATTGTTTTCTTTGTCCACCCTCCCAGTTTACATATTGGAGCATAATTTGCATTTTTCAAGGGAAGAAAAGCTCCTAACAAACTGTAATAGTAACGGTACGCTCCCTGTGTGTCTGTTCATCTGGTCCTAACTTGCTGTTCTGTATGTGGTCTGTCTCTGTCCTGCCACCAACACTAGGAGGAGGAATGTCTAGACTTTGCTGTGTCCTGCACCGGCTGATTAGCCACTGTTAGTGCAGGAAAAGTGATGCTTGAGCTTGGTAAGCCTGTTTAGAGAAAGGGAAAGCGAGTGCAGAGTCTCTGTGCCCACCGCTGTGTCCTCTTGGCTTGCTGCTGTACCGCTGCACGGCTTTATTCATATGCTGCCATGTTGAATACATAGCAGAGTGAATAATTTAACACAGTACAGTGTTTACTGTATGTAAAATTAATTCATAATGTACAGAAGTGTAGTTATGGCTCAAACAATTCCACTATACGTTTTCTATATTAGCTTCAAGTCTGACCCTTTTCATGCCATAGATTTGCCAGAATACGGTTTTACTCCAAGAAGTTGCTCTTGTCGAGGTAGAAACATATTTAAAACTTCATTTAGGCCGATGGGAGAGGAAAACTGTAAGTCATACTAGTAAAATTCTTGTTAACTGTAGGTACAATTAATATGTTGTTGAATAAACCAGTACTTAATGATATCTAACGGATACATTGTATTTGAAGTCTAGTGAGAGCAGCTCCGAAGAGGGAAACACAAATTAAAAAGTGTTGTTGAAATGTGTCCTTTGACATGCCAGGCTGGATTGACCTGGAATTAAAACACATTTACCTTTTAAACAGGCTTTGTATTGCTTTTTACACAGTGAATAGTGCACTGGCAGTTTTTGAACCTTCATTAACGGTTAATGTTTTAAATTTGAATAATAAAAATGACTCAAGGCTTTATACTCTTGAAGTTCATCCATTATTCACACTCTTGAGTGTATTATAGCTTCAGGGTTGAGGACATTTTCATTTTAATTCAGACGAAAAGCAGTGTTTAAAGCTGCACTAATCAATATTTTTATGTTAACAATGGAGAAAAAAATGACTGTGTAATGTACAGAAAGAGTGTGAGAATTATCATCAGATCTGCAGTTCCCCTGAGCTCTATGGAGCGGTTTAGCTTCTTTCAGCTCATTGTTTTAGTTTTATGGCCCACGACTGAGCTGTTTTGGTTTGAGTCCTGCAGCACACTAACTGCCAGCACCAAACAGCAATAAGACAAAGTTAGCGACTAGCTGGGGAACATAGTGGAGTATTTACTGTAGCTGCTAAAGGACAAAACAAAGTTACAGGACAATAATGGACTGACATTACTTAAGTGGACAGAAACAAGAATACAATTCAAGGCTTAAAACGTCTGTTCATTTAAAAAAGAAACTGATTTTGGTTTGTTATAAACGGGAGAAATTTAAACATAAAGCTGGTTACTTGTAGGAATTTATTCAGTTACTAGTAACTTATCAGCTCTATGCCCAAAAAACTTCTGAATAGCCACCTATGAACAGACAACATCACTTTAATTATTTTTATTACATTTTTTTTTAATAATTTTTGCTTTTTCTTTCTGTATTTTGGCCAAAGTGCTGGTCTGTTACCAGTGCCTGTTCTAAATATTTCTTATGTACATCCGCACGCCACACATGCCTGCAGCATTTTGTCTAAGTGGTGACTGATTAGACCCGCCCCTAGAGAAGGGATTCATCCTATAAGTAATCAGTATCAGGTTAAATTTCTCCTGTTTATAACAAACCAAAGTTCATGAAAATCGGTTCCAAATTAAGAGTTACAGTGGATTTTGTAGAGAAGTTTGCATCTCTCAGTATTGAGTAGTATGCCCTCCGCCAATATGGCGACCGCGTGGAGATTTAAATCTACATTTCTAATATCTTTGGTTGGTAGTTTTTTTACATTTTGTTTTACATTCCAAGTGACCAAATTCATTCATGCAGGTTTAAGAGCTTGAACACAAACCAGCGGCTTAAAACTAGTGACCTGATCAGTTCGGCAGCCCCAGGTCTGACACCATGGAGTTTACTGAGAGTGAGGACAACATTAAAGAAGTTACTTAGAAGGAGAAGACTCTCACTGCTATTACACTGCAAACCTTCTGTTCACTTCGATCAGCACTCAGTATGAATGAATGAATGTCTCCTATTGAGTAAGGGTACACCACAAAATAACATTACCTGGAGGAGATCCACTGGTGAAATACAACATGGTGGGCCTCCCACTAACCCCTTGCATCGACTATAAATCCAGCTTCAGACTCTTGTCCTGTCAATAAAAAGCTTTCAGAACAAACTGGGAGCATAAAGTTTGAAAGACATGGGCACTTAAATAGACAGTTCAGTTGTATCACGGGATATGCAGGACCCAGTGGTTTTTTAGCTATACACATAGGGCCTAAAAATCCAAGGATAACTAAATTTTAAAGTGTGTCTCCTGCAAGCCCCCAAATTTAATGCAATACAAAACTGATGGATTAGACTATTTTACACCAAGTTCTTTTTAAAGCTGCAGCAGGTGACCTTTATAAAAAATAACTTTTTGTCATGTGCTGGAACTTTCACTATATCCTGACAGTAGTACATTAGACGGATAGTCTGTGAAATCATGTTCCTCTGGCTCCTCCTAGTGCTCCTAATAGCGTTTGTAAGAATCCACCAGGCCTGAACAAAAACATCCAATCAGAGCCAAAAAAGAAAGAAAGACGCTTTGGGTGGGTGGCTTGAAGGTAGTTGATTGTTTAGTCTCATTCCCAGAGTCTGTATTTGATGACTATGGGAATGAGACTCAACAATCAACTATCTTTCTCAGGCTAGGGACCTGATTTTTTCACAGATTATCTGATGGTGAAAGTTATTACCTACTGCAGCTTTAACTAGACAATGCTCTCGGATGTTCCACCTATCAGATAAGATTTTGTGGGTGTAATTTGCATCTCTGTGCAGATCTATGGCATGAAACATTTGCGATCTCTTGCTTCAGACCACTGGTTTTGTCTGCTTGCACTCCCAGCTTGCCTTTGATTCATCTCGCACAGCTCCTGCTGAATTCACTGAGGTAATTTACCACCCTGCTGTTCGCCCTGTTAACTTCACTGGCTCGTCTCATCAGTTCTTGTCTTTTTTTCCTCCCTCCTCTTTCTCGTGCTTCCCCCAGTGCACACAGGGAACTAAAGGTCTGCTGGAGTCGGCCACTCGCTCCCCGCTCCTGTCCACCTCGTGTCCTCAGGGGAAACCTCAGACAGCTCATAGCTGCCCAGACAACAGCCCCACAGTGAACTCTGACCCCTCCCCGGAGCTCTCCACGAGATGCGGGGGCCGCCATACTGCTAGCTCTCAAGGCGATACCTCCCCTCGGCGTCACACCAAGAGTCACTCGAAGAAAAGTAAACGAGCGGCTTTGCATATTCCCAACCCTGCCTTCGATGTCCCTGTCTCCCCTACCTCTCCGGACGCCGGCCCCAGCTCTGAAGCCAGGGGCCACAAAGGTGTCAGCTTCTCCCCTTTGCACTGACTGACTTGACTGACGGCGTTCTCAAGTGAAAACACATTGTTTGAAGCTTGCATGCTGTAACACAGTCAAATACAAGTGGTATGAATTTAAAAAATGTTCTTTATTGTTTGTTGGTTCTCTGAAGGTCATTGTGTCAGAGGATGACAATCACAAAGAAATGTAATTGTGTGACCAATTTGCAGTGGAAATAGAAACATTAGAGCAGACTAGATGAAGATTATTCTGGATGCAACTTGGTGCAGAATGAAAAGCATGTGAAAAGATGAAAGGAACTGTGAGGAGATGGAGGAACTGGTGTACTGACAGAGCCATATGTTTTTCTGATGATTCTCATGTAAATGTGAATTTTACCAGCATGTCAGATCCATCAAATATTGTGAAAAAGTGGCTTTGATGTATCAGGTGGAGAAACTCTGGGAGCTCGAAAAGCTTGGTACAGAGAGCTAGAGCTCAGGATGTGTATGCATCTGTGAGGAGAAAAGTTGCCTTTAAAGGGAAAGTCCATCAAAAATGTAGAATTCACATATGTCATTTCTATAACATTGTGCTGCTGAGTTTATAGTGTGAACGTGAGCCAGTTTCTCCTTAAGCTGAACAGCAGATTGGCAGTTTGTACCGATGATGTCATTCTGAGACATATAGGCAGTGAATAATGGAATAATGGCTGTCAGCCTTGGAGTATTTTCAAGGCAATGGGGACCTTTTGTTATTCATATCTGAAAGCTCTTAATCTGACAAGCATGCCTACTTGACACAATGGATGAGCCCTTATCCCTTTTTAAAGGTCCAGAGTGTAACATTTAGGGGCTCTGATGGCAGTAATGGAATATAATATTCAGAACTGCGTTTCCATTAGTGTATGATCACCTGAATATAGGAATCTGTATTTTTTTGTTACCTTAGAATAAGCTGTTTTTATCTACAGCGGTTCTTCTTCCATGGAGTCTGCCATGTTTCTGCTTAAATTACAATAACAAACAATCTCTTCAAACAGCACAATAAAGCATAAAACATTCTTATTTGTAGCATTTTTTAATACAAATTAAATTGTCAAATTGTGAAAGTGGTTTTATTCTTACAATAAGAAAAATAATCTCTCTGCCTAATCTGCTGGGATATTAAGAAAACCACTGTTGTAACTTGTTCAATCTAGCTCAATATTAGCTGTAAAATCTTATTAAGACAAAGTTTTATATATTTTCTTAAAACAAGATTTTTTTTTTTCAAAAAATGAGACTAGAAAACCAGAAACAAGGTTTTTTTTACTTTCTTGAGATTCCTTTTTTGCAGTGTAGCCCAGATGGGACAAACTGACTCTAGATGGAGTGTTTTTTGTGTGTTTTGCCGCAACCGTAGTTTCTCCTTTGCACTTGGAAGGGGAGGGTGAAGTGAGGAAGTTGCGATCAGCAGCTACACTGCTACATGCCACTAAATCCTACACACTGGACCTTTAAACAGTTGGTTGTGTCTCGCCCCTTTCCATAACAGGGTTTCACCCCAGCTTCTGGCCTGCTTGTTCTGAACAGCTATTAACACTAATACATTTAGACGTGTTCACACGCCAATTTGTACAAATGAGTTAGACAGACATTGCATTATTATCTAATCTGGCCCTGCTGATTTAGTATCTTTCAGTTTTCTGCAGATTTCAACAGGTTAAATTTAAGACTTTTAAAACCATTATGAATGCAATTTAGGACCCTTTTCACACCCATAGTAGCAAAAAAAAAAAATGTACTTAAGATATGAAGGAAAATTGGCATTGGTTCCATGTCGTTTTGTAGTTGTTACAGCATGACCAATACACATTTTTCCCAGAAAACACATTTAAAAGTGAGGTAGCTCACCTGGTTGAGCGTGCGCCCCGTGTACCAAGGCTGAGTGCTTACTGCAGCTGCCTGGGTTCGATTCCAGCCTGCAACCCTTTGGTGCATGTCATCACCTCTCTCGCTCCCCACTCTTCAGCTGCTCTGTCAAAATAAAGGCAAAAAATGATCTTTAAAAGCAAGACTGAAAAATACAACTTTAATGTTAACTTCATTCATCCAATAAATTTTTAAGACCTGTCAAATCCTATTTAAGACATTGTATGGCCTAAAATTCAGATTGCTTCCGATTCCGGCCATTTGAGACCCCAGGGACACTGAGCTGTGTGTCTATAAACTAACTGACACAGCAAACCTGGAGCCTGGTAGTATTTCTAGCAATGGAGTACTTGAAGGGTATTTAAACTTTAAACATTTTAAGCCTCTGCATTTTTTATGTTTCGTGACACATTTTTTCAGGTTTTTCTTCGTCATAGCCCATCTATAATATCTCAAACACAGATATATATATATATACAGAGTTCAGTTAGTTGTTCAGTGTCACCCCAAAAATGGTCATGTGATGTCATTAGCACAGCTTTCTTTGTTTAAAGGTGCTGACTTTACCATCCAAAATGTTGCAATTGCACATGTGAATTCTGTTTTTTAGGATTTTCCCTTTAACTTTGCACAATCAGCACTGTGAGTTGAGCGTGTCTCGGTTGTATCCATGTGTGCTGTTGTTCAGATTTCTGTGCTGTATAAACGGCAGCGAATGCAACTGCATGATAATGACTAAAGACGTAATTTATGGTATTCTTTGTTTATTTAAATCTTTCCAGACACCACATTTTTCACCTGAGAGGTCCTATGACACTTTTTGTAGGAAGGCTGTGATTTGGATTCCTGAATATCGTTGTGTATCTGAACTGAAGCAGTGTTGTTCATTGCCTACGCCGCACCACCTCCTGCTTGTGTTATCATTTACATCACACAATGATTTAAGGCTCCCTTTCAAATGTCCTGCACACTTTATATAAGCAACAGCAATACCTGTTCTCCTTAAAATTGTTTTACTCTGTGCGCTTAGACAAATCCTAGAAGATCTATGTGAATGGTTGGCGTGTTGGTTTGTTCTCAGGTGGAAAGCTGTAGAGGTATTCAATATGCAAGTTCTATGTGACATATATCCACATTGTAACCCGATGGCAATAGCTGCACAAAAATGCAATGATCCAAACAATCATCCCCATGCACTAAGACGTATAGGCATGCACACACACACACTGATCGTCTGTAGTCCACCCCAAGAGTGTTAACACTGAGTAGAGCAGCATCACTTTGTGAGCAGTATTCTCTGTGTCAAAAGTCATCCCAACACCTTCTGGATGTCGGTGAGAGTGAATGCAAGCAATGCATTTCTGAGGAGAAAAATATTGTACTGTATTTGTGAAAACTGTAAGGTTATTTCAGCCAAAACTACTGTCAAAATAAAGAAAAAGGAAAATAAAGTTTGGTGAAATAAAGAGGCCCAGTTTGTTTTCATAACACTGAAGTCCTGCAGTCGGCCACTAGATGACAGTGATGACTTATAAACATGGAGCAGATAATCCATTCACACTCACTGTATACTGTACATATTAAGCTCCACACATTTTTTCTTTTAGCACTTTCATCTTCTCGCTCTGCCTCAGAATTCTTCTCTAAATACTTTCTCTTTCTCTCTTCTTTTGTAGTAAGAGAATTCAATCTATTTCCCCAAATGAAATGAAAACAGTGCTTTCAACATTTTGTGACTTTACTGTTAAGTCTGTCTGGATTGATTCAGTCACCTTTATGTAGTGAAACCCATTGAAACAATGCCTGAAAGCAAAACTGTTCTCAGGGACCAGGCAGGTGTTTTAAAATGGAGTGCAGTGGTAGTCTCAAGGCTAGAGATGCAGACATGTGACCGCTCTGTTTCTGGTCTAAATTCCACAGCTGACAGCGAAACTGTAGATGGAGGAAGCGAATGAATGGCTCTCTTTCGTCAGCAGCTTTCATTGATCAACATTGCCAGACTGTACTTGTTTGGTTGGGTGGTTTCTATTGTTAAAAGCAAGATTTGTTTGAAATAATAAGATCCTGACAGGTTTATTCTCCTATGGTTCTTTCACACCTAATCTGTGTTTACCAGTTTAGTTCAGTTTTGTTTAGGCTTGTGTGAAAGCTTCCAGGACTTCCTGTAATGTTTTCACACTAGAAACGAACCGAACTATGATATTTGATCTGTACTTAGACCACCTCTTTTCGTCAGATCAAGGTTTGGATGCTTGCTCCGGACCACGGTCTGGGACAGTAGTTCTCAACCTGGGGGTCCCCAAAGCTTCATTGGGGGGGGGGGGGTTGCAAGGGCTTCTTAATTTTAAGGGATGTAAGAAGAAAGTAAATGTAAAGTAAATTGTTAAATAGAATAGAATTATTAGAATCTAATAGATAGTCTAATAGAACAATGGCCAAATGCAGTGGACAAGAAAACACTGAATTGGTTAATAAAGAAATCTAGTCTAATACATAATTGTAAGAATTGTATAAAAAGTTCCTGAAACAAGAAATAATCTGCTCAAAATACATCCGAATCACTAATTTTACACAATCTTTCTTCAGTTAGTTAGAGTTCACTGTTTGGGTTCATTGTGCAATTTAAATATAATATGAAATATCCATAAAATATGTCACTGAGTCAGGGATGGTCAGTTTACTAAATGACAGAAAAGGGGTCCCTTGAGGAAAGAGGTGGGGAACAAGTTTAGTTTGGATCAAACTGAAAAGTCTGTAAATCCAGACCAAACAAGGTAAGTGTGAAACCGCCTTTAAAAACCAAAGGAACTGTGTTTCGATCAGATTTGATTGACTATGGCGTCTCCCTGGTAACATAATCATGTATTGGAATAATTGCCCACGCACATGGTTTGGTGACATTGCTTTTATTTTGCATCTATAAGTTTAAATCTGATTTTCCTCTGCAGGGTTGGGGGTTCTCAGTCCAGTTAGCACACACTGGATGAAAGGAAGGCTGCACAAGTTGCCAGTCTACCACAGATCCTATTAAAGCTGCAGTGGGTAACTTTTATAAAAATAACTTTTTGTCATATTTGCTGAAACTTTCACTACATCCTGACAGAAATACACGAGACCTCCTAGTGCCCCCAATGGCATTTGCAAGAATTCACCGGGCCTGAGCGAAAGCAACCAATCAGAGCTGAGAAAGATATAAAGACGCTTTTGGTTGGAAGCTTGAAGATAGTTAATTGTTGAGTCCCAAAGTGTCTGTATTTGACGCCCTGGGACTGAGACTCAACAGTCACCCTTCTTTCTTGGCTCTGAAATTCACTATCCTCCTATACCAATTGGATATTGGATTTCAAAATAATGTCTAATCATTTGAATGTAAATTGCTGAAAATTACACAGAGAGTAACAGTTTTTCTTGTGGCAGCTCTATTATTACATCCATGGTGGCCCCCAGTAAACAAGCACATGTTTAAGTGGTAGGTTGTGGCACTTGTATTGTTTACTTGGATACTTACTTACGTAATAACGTATAATACGTAATAATACATAGTAAATATAATAATAATACATTTTATAATTATAAAGTAAAAATACTGTCAGTCTTGCCACATAAATGTGCCTACAGTGTCTCTATCAGAATTGATATTAAAAAGACAAATAAATCTATTTGATAAAAGCTGTGACACTGTTTAACATAACAGTTCGTAAACTTTTCAAATAAAGGCGTTGGCTGGCTGAATATTCTGAAAGCACATTGAAGGTATATTGTGTGTGGTTTATGTCACTCAGTATATGGTAACCTGTTGCTGGAGGGGCTTTGTGTGTCACACTGGATGAGCTTGTTTGTATTTTAACTCTGCAGTAAGAATGACAATTGAAAGAATTAATTACCTTTCCATCATCCGGGTTTCCTGACAGCAGGACAGCATTGTGTTGTTTCTGAGCTGTGCCTGTCAGTAACAACATGAGAAGAAAATGTTTCATCTTCATCTCAGTAAATGCTGGCGATGTTATGTCATTGCTTGAAGCAACACTACTTGTTGCTTGTTACAGGTTGTTCTTAAACCACATTGTTACTCACATAACAATAACAGTTCAGAAAAAAGAAAACTGTATGTTCAGCTACTTTAAAGTACCCTCTTTCTTGATTGTCTGAAAATTTCACTCTTTCCATTTTTGTTGTGCAAACTACTACCAGAAGCTTCCTTGAGTGCTCAGAAAGAACAGTATGTGAAAGAATATTTTTAAGGCATAGCATTAAAGCTACACTTTATATATATATATATTTTTTTATATATAAACTCTGGATTAATGCCTTTGTGTACTGTGAAAGATGTCAGTTGTAGTGACAACCCACAGAGAATTATAACCCAGCTCGGACAAGCTTTTTATCTTCTTTTGGGTCATTGCTTTGATTTGGGAGTACAACTTAACTGTTACCATCATCAAAATCATTTCCAGCCACAGCAGCTGTTTTCAGTGAAAAAGCTCTGATAAACCCATTGTATGCTACCCGCCCAGCACTTAACAGCAGAACAACACAGTTATCAACTATAATATCAACAATTATTCATCTATCGATCGTTTTGACCCTTAAAATAAACAAATAAGTGACCTGTGGCCAATAAATGAGTGGTTCTCAGCTTGGGGGTTACAAGATAATTTCCTGGTGTTACCAAAAATAAAATATCATATTGTGGCAAGCAGTGTGGCATGACAGATAGGAAGCCACTCTCACTCTCTATTACTGTTCTCTTAGGCCTGAAACAGACATGATGTTGTAAACACCAACCTGATTATTCTATAAGGTTGAGAACCACTGCTCTAAATGAACTCTGATAATGTCTGTGTCATCAATAACAAATGCAGTGACACTAAAGTGAACATATTTTTAATCTTTACTCTACTGTAAACTAAACTGATTTGTAATCATCTTCATATTGGTTAATTGCTTACAATCCCTCATTATTGAAGCAAACACACACTTTAGGCCAACATGATGTATCCCTGTGTTTACATCTTAAAACATCGACCTCATATGATGTCATGTATTACGTCTTTTGTTTAGCCTATGACTAAAACATATGAGATGATCATACTGTAAAGAAACCAAGATTCTAGATACACTAAAATATATGAAATTTTTTTCCCAGCTGTCTAACTGGTTGTCTAATTGGTAGTTTACCTGTCTGTCCTACATGTGTGCAGCTTACGAGGGAAGCGGGGCTCCCCTCTCGCTGCACGCTCTTAGGAATGTTAGGACAAATTAGATTGCTCCGGGCCTAAAGAGTCTACCATGTTTAATGAGTTCCTCGGAAGAACAAATAAATGTTTATGGAGAACCGCCGCTTAACATCACTGATCCCCCCTTCCTTGTCTGCTGTGTATGGCTGTGTCATGAAAACACAGCGCTGTTGCCAAGGAGATCCCCCCTATCTGCTTAATGAGTGGGGTCTTTGTCTGCGCGTTAGGCTTCAGGTTAAAACTTTTCATCACCCTTTACTATGCATTCACTTCTTGGCACCGATAACATCTCATCAGACGCCGTGACCAACTTTCATTTAGGAGTATAGGCCTTCTGCAACCGCCAGTGCCAAAGTCAAGATCAAGGGCAGGGACGGGATCATTTCCAGAACTTTATCATGTCATCATAACTGGCTTCAGCTAACGTTCAACTGACATGGGTTTTAAAGGCGGACTGTTGGAAGCCTATAATCAATGTTACTTAATTTATGCTTTAGTCTTACATTTATCCAATGCTTTCACCAGAACAGATTCTTTCAGTGTATAAAAGTTAAGAAGAACAAGTTAAGACCAACTAAAAGTCTAGTTTTCTGGCCTCCAGCAGTTGAACTTCTCAACTCGCTGCAGTAAGGTAGAAGTGTTCTCCAGGGTGTGGTCAGTACACTGTGACATTACTGTTGTGTGTGGCTACAGGAAGAGGTGGGACCAAGTCATTTGTTTGCAAGTAAGTCCCAAGTCTTGGCACTCACGTCACAAGTCAAGACAGGCAAGTCCAGAGTCAAGTCCCAAGTCCTAAACTTTGAGTATTGAGTCCTAAACCAGTCATAATGTACTCTTCACCCAAATGCATTTTAACAACAGATGGAGCTTATCGAACAAAACCAGAATCCAATCAAATTTTCATCCGATACACTTTTTAAGTAAAAACCTTTTTTTAATCTTTGGGCTTTGTGCAAAAGGAACCAGGGCAACACTAACTTCGAAAATATGTGATCCCTGCAGCATTCTGTTTTGGGGGATTAACATCTCTTTAATACTACTATTAGACTGACACTGACATCAGAAGAACCTCCATTTGCTGTTGATTAGAATGAGCCAACCTGTCTTGTTTGACCTGCCTAACAGCTTTATGCCTGACACTGTCTTGCTTTGGTATTAACGAGTCAACATGCATTTCTACAATAACAGTAAGAGCACTATATGGTTATAAGAAAGAAAATAGGATGTATGTTT